TCATCTTTATTATATAATGTTCGTGCTCCCAACTAAAATTTAAATTCATAGGTAAGAGCTGTTGGTTTATTGTGCTGGTGCATTAAAAGGAATCTTCTTCATGTATCATCATATGTATATATATATATGGAACCCCACTAAGTTCTCATCTCAATGTTCTACGAGTCAATCCCACTATTCCGGTCGCCTCTCCCATCCCTATCATTTACGTAAATCATATGTATTAATTTTATTTGAATCGTTTCAAATTTAACGGATGTATTCGAAAAGACATTGTCAAAAATTATAAATCAATGTCGATGACATAAAGTTTTCTATATTTAACTTGCCTAAAGGAAAATAATTTTTAAATTTAATTGATGTATCATCTGGTAATGTCTTTTTGTTTAATACATTTATTAAAAGAATTTCTTCAAAAAAATAAAACACATTTAATTATTTTTTTGTAGATATAATATAGATGTATCGTAGTATATAACATATGGGACTTTTACTGTGAGACTCAATCACGCATTGCAGGCATATTAATATAATTTTGTGGTTTAAATTATAATTATGTAAAATTATTAAAGAGTTAATTAAATTAAATCTTTCATAGCCATGATGTATGTGAGCATACATTGGATAGGTGGACTCCGTTAGTAATATATTTGTAAGACTCATGTATAGGAATTTTATGTATGAAAATACTAGTGGGTCAATTTCGAAATTATTTAAACACTTGGGGGGAGGCAAGGGTAATTGATCCATGACCTTTACATGTGTTGGCTTTAAAAAAAAAAAACAAAACAAGCCTGCCGTGTGTGTATGTGTGCCTGCCGTGTGTATGTGTGTGTGTTTAAAGGTGTCAAGTGTGTGTGTTTAACATATTAAAAAGTGTGTGCGCGCGCCTGATGGAGTTCGGAGGCCGAGAGTGAGCAGAGCAAGAGAGGAAAAAAGGGGAAAAAAAACAAAGAGACTAGAAGACGCCGAGAAAAAAAATATATGTACGTGGGACTATTTAAGCCGTAAGCAAGGAATATATGTGTGACTCAATTTAAGCGTATGTTGTGATTAATTTTAATATATATGTTGTGGTCTATTTTAGCATATTTTAATGAGTAGGCTATTTTAATTTAAATTTGAATTTAATTAAGTGTATTACACATAATTAGTTAATTAGTAGACTATCTTGTGTACAAATGATGGACTGTTTTACTTTATGATCAAAACAGATTTTTTTAGAGTTTAATTAAGCGAATTGAGTCCACTTAAGGGGCTGTTAAAATGGGGTGTAATGGGTGTTCAATTCGGGTATAAGAAAGAAGGAAAAAAAATGTGAAAAATAAATATCGAGAAGAATTTAGCGAGCTAGGTGGAAAACGAAAATTATGGAAATGAAATGAGTGGTTTAAAGGGCCAATTAGGGGCTGTTGTGCATTGATTAAATGGGTATGTTAATTTAAGTGTAACGGTTTTAAATAAAAAGTGCGATAGAAGTGGGAAACGGGTGCCGATAACGCCGAAACCCTAATTTCTAAATGTTATTATCACATGTGTAGATTTTAATCCAAATAACCTGAAATTTTGCATGCAGCATTTTAAAATGATACTTGATATGATAATGTGACTTTCGAATGCAAATGAGTATAATATCCAGTGCAAAATGTATGAAATGTCGAAAGTGCAATTTTTAGGATTCGGGGTCGAAATGTGTGAAAATGGGCCCCCGGTCAATGTGTTTGACCTACTAAATCCTAATTATTAATGTGAGTGATTTTAGAAATTGGGGAGGAAATGTGATCCCTAGAACAAAAGTGCTAATGTGTGAGTAGACAGTGCGGTAACCGGAGTTACCGGGACACTTTGAGGTGCATCATTTGCATGCATTAGTGCATGATTAATTATTAAATGTAATAAATATATTGATATTGATATTGTAATTGTAATTGTAATTGTGTTAAGTAAAACGAGTGAAACAATCGGTGATGAAACATATACGATAACACCGAAAAGATCCATTGATAGGACCGAAGGGTCGTCGATTTGTACATCTGACGTGGGTGTATATATTTATATGTTTTAAAAATACTATTATCAGATGATAGTAAATGATAGAATTTAATAGCAATTCTCCAAGATTATGCACTACATGCTTATGTGATTGAATGATGTTTTGTACTATGTATTGTGAAATATGACGCACTGTTTGAGACAGGGGTGTCGATGCCTGATCACTAGGCGTTCAGTTATGTGCTAGCACTGTGGTGTTCTTGGGAGGTTCGGGGGATATGGTTCCATGTGGGATCGATTACCCAATGAGAGATAGTGTGGATGTGATGTGGCTTGTGAATTCTTTGAAATTGGATTGATGTTGTTATTTGATACGTATATCTATGTACTATCTATTTATTTCAGTATATTAGTATCATTTTCATTTCATATATTGTATGTATACTCACTGAGCGCATGGTTTAGCTCATACTGCTACAGTTTCTTCTTTCAGGTACTATGAGGAGGATGCAGACCGGTCCACTGTCTAGTTGATTGAGTCTTGTGCGACGTTACTATGATACCACTCAGGTTGAGTGTCGGTATGACTAACTGTTAGGCTGTGTATTATATTTATGAGAGATATTTATGGCAGGTTAATAGTATATATTTGTAAATAGACTCAGCAAGCATATTTTGTGATGTATGCTATTTGGGTGTGAGATTTTTTTTATATGTCTATAACATAGGAATTAAATGATTGGTGCAGGTGTTTATATATAGTACAGGTTATCAGACAGATATTACCATCATATTTAATAACTAAGGTGATGAGTGTTGTTGTTGCACCTGTAGGATTATATCATGTTTGATTAGTCCAACTTATAATAATTGTTCACAGGTATATGTAAAACCTAGTCACACCTCATATATATATACAAATTTACTTTTTTTTAGAAGAGAGACTTGAACCCTTAACCTCAAGAAGACTAAACCATATTATGAATTGGTCGGCATGTAATTGGAGAAACCAATCTCAATTTCCACTGTGTTTCCTTAGGGGAGTAATCTAATACTCTACTAGCTAGCTTGTTTTTCTATTAGGTGCATTTGTATGTGAATACCTCACTACTTTTGTCATTAGTACAAACTTTAAGAGAGTCCTACGAGGGACTACAACTCACTCCACTTGGAAGGACAGCTAAACTATTCGTTTTTAAGCATATAAAAGTAGACTACAAATCATACATTATACTATTGCGACCACCTTCCCCGAAATTATGTTCCACCTAAACGTAACTAAAAAAAATTGCATATAATTACACAACAACGTTCCTTTCTTATATAATTTTGATTGATGAATAAGCGATTCAGTTGGTAATGATAGGAGGTTGGTGAACGTGGCTGTTGTCGTCTATTTATTCCCAAATTTCGTCATCAAGAAAGCTAATGATAAGCATTATGAACAGGTGATGTTACTGTAATATAATCATTATTATGTAAAGATGAAGCCCTATAATAAAGTAGATTAACTAGGACTAAACTGTACTTAGGGCTTTGAAGTAAGCAAACACATCTTTGAAACAGAATATTAGAAAGAAAGTTCCATCAAGAATCTAAAGACACAGGCCCACTTCTTTGTGTGTGTGTTTGTTGGGTGGGGATTAATTGGGGCCACTAATTTGAAAACTAGTGATGGGGGAAGAGTAGGAGAGTTATGGGAATGGAAAAAAATAATAAATAAATAAATAATGAGGAGCCATATGTAATTATGAATAGTGTGGTGATTAAGATGGAAGAGAAGAGGGTTATTATATATATATATATATATATATATTTAATGTGGACACGGTCGACTAAGAGTGAATAATTAGAATTGACTAAAGAAGTTAAAGGGGAATAATCTTATCTTAAGAATAGGTTAAATAGACGTGAACGAGTTGATCGACTTGCTAATCGGCTTGACCTCTTTTCATTGGTAAATCACTCTTTGTCGTTTGTTAAATAATTTATATACTTATTGGAGTGACCGAAGTACTTCCTGAAACAAGCTCGAGGGAACAGTTAGGAAATAACTCGTATTGGAGAGGAGTAGGATGCACACCGTATGAGCAAATAGTATAGATGATCCCAACGATTGTAATTGGGCAAAAAATCCAATGTTTAGTCATGGCTTTGCCTTCAATTACATTAGGCCCCTAACGTCTTGGGCAAACTTAAGTTGGTCCAAACCCAATCTTTCAACTTATTTTTTTCAGTTTCGGCCTGCTGATGTTTGAACCCAAGATACATTGTTTTCTTTTTCTGTTTCTTTTTAATTATTTTCAGAATTTTGAGCTTAAAATTTGTAGCCTTTTTGCCTACTAAAGTGACACAGTTCAGTTAAATGTCGGTCATCCACGTCGGGACTAGTTGAGGTATGTATAAATTGATTTAAACATCTTTGAGACTGTTGAACCAAAAAGAAAAAGAAGTATCTCTTAAGTTTGGTTATTGTCATGATTGAACCGATTCTTTCATTAAATATAACTTATCTTCAACTCCAAGAGATCGATGGTTAAAAAAATCCAAAGGGATAAATTTATGTGGGAGGGATCCGTTTCAAAAGTTAGAGATCCTGAATTCCAATATATTCTATTTGCATAGAATTTTCTCTCAACTGGTTAGAATTTATTTTCTATTTTTCACAAGCCAATCTTCTCCATAAACCCATAAAAAAATAACCAGAAAAATTATGTTCAATAAACCCTTCATTTGCCATAACAAAAATTCTGGCATCAAGTGGATTAATTCAAAGGAAAAACCACCAATATTTTGGGCTGGGTTGGGTGTTGGAAAAAAGGCCCAACACCAGTGAACAGATTCTAGAGGAGAAAAGAGGCCCAAGTACATTTTCTCTTTCAAGATCACAAAGGACGACGTCGTACGCTTTAATGTCCAGAATTCCGGTGTGTCCTTATCAAAATTTGTCTTGGTAATATAACTCTCCATGCGTGACTCAGTCAGCGAGATGAGCTCGTCGAAGCAGCAATACTTCACTCAATTTCCATCTGAGAGAGAGAGAGAGAGAGAGGGACTCCAAGGTCCCTGTGGAAATTGATATTAAAAATCACAGACACTGATCAATAGAAAAAGAATCCCAATAATTTTTAATCCATTTTGTTCTCATCCCTGCCCTTTCTGTGCACAAATACAAAAGAAAAGTCAAGAAAACACGCGTTTGACCTCCACACCATCACCAAATCATGCAATTCAGATCTTCGCAGGAATGCCCATTTCAATTTTCTCTTCACAATTGGCTCTAATGGCAAGAATTCTGGTATTGGTGGGGTTGGTGGTGGTGGGTCTGATCAGTGGTGGCTGGGGTGAAGAAGAAAGAAGGTCCCAAGAAGCGCCATGGAGGATCCACACATTATTCTCGGTGGAATGCCAGAACTACTTCGATTGGCAGACTGTGGGCCTCATGCACAGCTTCAGGAAGGCGGGACAACCAGGGCCCATCACCCGACTACTCAGCTGTACGGAGGATGAAAAGAAAAATTACAGAGGCATGGACTTGGCTCCTACTCTTGAGGTCCCTTCCATGAGCAGACATCCCAAAACTGGTGATTGGTGGGTGCTTTCTCTTCCTTGGATACATGATATTATATTTACTTGGTACTGGTTCTTAATTTGATCTAGATCATGTTTTAAACATTGGGTTGTACTACAATTGTTCATTGAATGCTTGTTACTGTTTATGGCTTTTGTTGTATGATTGTCAAGGAGTGAAAATTTTGTTGTTGTCTTTATCTGTTGTTCAATGGGTTTTGTTGAGTTGAGTTATTTTGTCATTGTTTGTATGAATCTCTATCATGTCCTTCCATTAGTATTACGATCTACAGAGGATTGTTCTATTTATGTACCACGGACTATCAAATATGGAGGTTGGAAAATTGAATCAAAAGAACGTGAGTGGTTGGTCTAGGTTGCTTACTGCCGAATATAATGAGACTGGTTCCATTTGATCCTTAAGTCTTGGACTAGCCATGATTGTGCACTAAAAGAAGTGTCATAACTCATAATCCTAAATGTTAGAACTCATAATCATCCAAAGACGACAATAAAACAACCAGATTCTCTTTGACAGTTATTTTCTCATTACTATCTAATGTCCCCACAATAAATTATTTTGCATATCCCAGTGTTATAGTTTGCCTTTGCTCTCCAATTGAAAATGTTTTTGATTTCTCTTTCGAATTGTTACTGTCTTTGAAAATCTTCAGGAAATTCCTCTTTCCTCCCCACCCCCAAAAAAAAAAAAGAAAAGCATGAACCCCCAATAGAACAATGTCTAAAATTAACAGTGAGAAAGCGTAAAGGATTTTATTTGTGTTTGCAGGTATCCTGCAATCAACAAACCAGCTGGGATTGTCCACTGGCTTAAAAATAGTGAAGATGCCGAAAACGTCGATTGGGTGGTCATACTTGATGCAGATATGATTGTCCGAGGCCCAATAATACCATGGGAGCTTGGTGCAGAGAAAGGCAGACCTGTTGCAGCATATTACGGGTAATGGTTGCTCTCACATTTAATGCTTTGGGTACATGTTCATTTACTGATAATATCCCTCCTGTTTAAAGCTTTCTGCAAGTGGATTAAACCACTGTACTATGGTTCTTTATGCAATTTTTCTATCTTGCCTTGATTTGTTTTTGGCTTTTTTGTGGATGATTTTACAGGTTATATCGCAGCTGATGGATGTCCTTTATGACATTTCCTTCTTGGCCTATGTATGATGCAATAACTAAACTCTTTCTAACGGGGTGTACATATATTCCATGCAATTCATGGAATTTTAGTTTCCAATTCTGTACATATTCCTTTTTGAACCTCTTTAGGGGAAAGGTACTCTTATTTGGTGGGGTGTAAAGAGAGTAAGAAAATGTGAAGTTGGAAGGATAATATTTCTCTCTAGGGCTAAGGTACTCTAATTTCATTTGTGTCGGCCAACATTCCCAGTTGATTTTTCAAAAATTATTTTTAGTGAATCCCTTTCATGACTAGAAAATACACAGGAAGCTCATGTATAATTATTGCTAGTCTTTGTTATGTGGCTGTAGCATAAGGGTAAGAGGGGACATCCAGTCCACAGGCTCTCCCTCAAGCTGCGTGAGCCTTGGCCTAGCCCAACTCCACCTGCTGTTCGTAGCGTCAATATAGGAGTAGGACCCCTACACTCAAAGCCATGACTGTCTAGTCCTAAGGACTTTTCCTTTAGCTAGTGTGCTATAGGAGTCAAGGAATCCTCTGGTAGTAATTAATCAGTTCGCATGCTTATGGACTTGGTTCTGTAATTGATTGCTAGGAACAAGGCTTTGATTAAAAAGTAGCTTTGGAGATCTCAAAAGGGTAAAAAGGTTTTCTTGGCACTCAACGGCTCAGTTAGCTTGAGTAGATACTGCTTGCACTAACCTGTTTCGATTTCCTTTTAACGACGTATGAATCAATTGCTGTCCCTAGAAAATCATCAGTTAGTTTTTAGTATCTCTTATTGCATTTTCTTGCTAACAATAGTTCTGCAATAGTCCTCCTTGCTTCTGATACCTCTATCTGCACATTTCAGCGTCTAGAAATAAAATTGTTTCAGTTCTATCGTAATTTGAATGAACATCAGCTAGAACACATTTTGTTATTCCTTCTCCCACTGATGTTGCAGTACTTGTTGCTGCATTCTAAAATCCAAAGATGGCACTCTTGTAAATTCTTCTATTCATTTTTATTCACATCTTCTTTTTAGCCTCCCTCCTTCTTGTGTAGGTTGAATTGAAATAGGTTTTGGGAGTGCTTCCAATTGTGAAAACCTTGGTCTAGATGGTGCATCAGGGTAATTATGTTGAGTTTTTCATACGTCTGTTTTGTGATGTAAAAATGGAATATGTAAAATGATCACTTCTTCTTTCATCCACAGCACATCTGGTTGTGGTTTAAGTGGTTAGAGGTGGCTGCCACCTCAAGGATGGGTCCATCTCATCTTGCTTCCCTTTTGAATTGTTGCTTCCATGGCACCAGTGGAGGGAGGAGGACGGTGGTTTGGTGATGTGCTACTTTAGCCACACTTGAGTCAGTTTTGCTCGAGTGAAATGCTACTGCCATTTGAGAGGGAAACCCTGGCTTGCCTTCTGATTGGCTTCCCATCACCATAAATTCTACGCATGATCCTACCTGTTATTAGCAAGGACTGGATAGGATTGTTGCCAATTGGACACTTTCCTTATATCTTTAGATGTCTAGTGTGAATTTTCCACCTTTCTTTGAAATCAAAGTGAATCTGATGGAAGCATACTTAGAAACAATAATATGATGATTATTCACAATTTAGTTTACCTGTACACAATGGATCAAAGTGTTATGCTGTTCTGGTTGGTGATAGTTCTGGGGTTTAAAATTTTGTTGACCACTTGTTTGAGGGCAATTCTGCTGTGGACATTATGGGAGGATACCATGGAAGGCAAGGCAATCGATGATGTTGGCAACTTTTAACACAAGATTGTTGATCTCCTTCCTCAGACCCCTCGTGGGGAGCCTCATAAAGTGGACCACCACCGTTTTTGATTGTTGATCTTTATGTTGTGCCAATTTCTAGCCAAAAGAATAGTGGAAATTACTTTGAGGCATTTTATCAGCATTTGTTTTCAATATTATTAGCATTATAAAAGGATAAAAGAATTCTAATGTTGCCATGTTGTATTCCTTTATCTTATATTGGTTTTGCTCTTTATAAAGGACTTGTTCACCCTTGTTTGGTTTTTTTGATCTTTCTTTGGTTGAGATACTTCTCATTGATAAAAGAAAACTGCTTTTTCTCGCCAGGTACTTGGTTGGATGTGATAATATTCTTGCTCAGTTGCATACAAAGCACCCTGAAATCTGCGACAAGGTTGGTGGGCTTTTAGCCATGCATATAGATGATCTTCGAGCTTTGGCACCCATGTGGCTTTCGAAAACTGAAGAAGTACGAGAAGACAGAGCTCATTGGGCAACCAATATAACTGGTGATATTTATGGGAAAGGTTGGATCAGCGAGATGTATGGATATTCATTTGGTGCTGCAGAGGTATGTTGTATGATCTTGTTCTTTTTCTCCAGTGCATTTGGCATCTTTCTGCTATACTTCCTTCTTCTTCTCCTTTCTTGCTTTCTTTGTCCTTTTCTTCCAGTGAAAAAATTGTCTGTTTTGTTTTGTTTTCTGGTTTGTTAGGTGAAACTTCAACACAAGATTAATGATCACTTGATGATTTACCCAGGCTACATCCCACGAGAGGGTGTTGAGCCAATTCTTTTGCACTATGGCTTGCCATTTAGTGTTGGAAATTGGTCATTTTCTAAATTAGATCACCATGAAGATGATATTGTGTATGATTGTGGCCGACTCTTCCCTGAACCTCCTTATCCTAGAGAGGTAAGCAATTTGGTATCATTCAAAGTTTAGTTTTGTGCAATGTATGCTCTCTCTTGCTGTTCCATTTTTTTTCATTATTTTTATTTTGATCAACATGCAGCATAAACTTTCATGCACTGACCTTCAGTAGGCCCAAACTAAATGCACTAATTGGATAACTTGTAGAAAAGTTTTGATCATATCAGGGTTTGGCTAGTTATCTTGGGAAGTCTTTATCCCTTATAGTGATAAAATATTGCTTTTCTGTGACCCCTGTCATCATTTTGTTAATTCAGTGGTGAACAATGATTCTGTAAAGACTTCCATCACACACATCAGCAAGTAAAATGTTCATGCTAAGGGAGTATTCAATCAGTATGGCGATAAGACACTGTTTTTAGAAATGAAGAAGATATTATGTGATGTATTTTACACATAAGTGTCCTTTTATGTGATAAGGACTTTCTTTTCTTCAGAAAACCTTGTATTTCTTGTTAAAAAAAAAAAAGCAAATTATGGTTACTTTCCAGAGAAGATCAAGATGTATCATCAGAACTCTGAGAGGACTTGTTTGCGCTGAATATTAGACAACCTGTGAGGAAGTTTTCGTGACTTAAAATCTGTTGAAAACTCAGACTCAACTAATATTATTGCTGATATATGTTGTGTATCCCTTGATTCACAGGGTAGAGTACCAGCCTATGCATGCTTTTGCCTTTTCTCTTTTGTAGTAGCTTTAATCGGAACTCATGGGAACTTTTTGTTCTTGCAGCTAAAAGCAATGGAAGCTGACACCAACAAAAGGAGAGCACTATTTTTGAATATAGAATGTATAAACACTTTGAATGAAGGTCTTGTATTACAGCATGCGGCACATGGATGTCCGAAGCCAAAGTGGTCAAAATATATGAGCTTTTTAAAGAGCAAAACTTTTGATGAACTTACTCAGCCAAAGTTCCCTACTCCTGAAAGTCTAAAAACAATGGAAACTGAACTTCAACAGCGAGTTCTTCATGAACAGCAGGTCGTTGATGAACCTGAGATGCCACATCCAAAAATCCACACCATTTTCTCCACGGAATGTTCCCCTTACTTCGATTGGCAAACTGTAGGACTTATCCACAGTTTCCACCTGAGTGGCCAGCCTGGAAATATCACGAGGTTGCTCAGCTGTACAGATGAAGACTTAAAGCAATACAAAGGCCATGATTTAGCTCCCACACACTACGTTCCATCCATGAGCCGACATCCGCTAACTGGGGATTGGTAACTCTTCCTTTCTCTTATTCTTCCATCTTTTGCTTTTTACGCAAAGTGTTGTCGCAATCTGAAGATGTAGTTCAGAGTTGAACTCTAATCATATGTTGTTAGAATTGACATCTAGTCATTTGGTGTTTCTTTTCTTTTCCATTCATTTTTTTCCTTTTTCATTCATCGGGATCTTTCATCATACTTACATGGAAGGGGTATTTTTTGACTGATGCAATATGAATTGTTCCTACTAAGAGTAATACAAGGGAAGAGGAAGACTAAAATCAATATGGATTGAGGTGATTAAAAAAATAATATGTAGCATGTGTTTAAGAAAGTTTACGCCCCTTAATAGACGAGATTGGTAAAAGAGGATTCATGAAGCCAACCCATTTAGTTGTGAGGAGTACTTAGGAAATCAGATCCAAGTTTCACACGGATTTATTACTTACATGTAAAGACCATATGCTATTTTTGGATGTTTTGGCCTCATCATGTCGTTCACATGCTTAGTAGGTCCTATTAAACATCATCTGGATTTACCGTTCAGTTCATTTGTGTCACAAAATGAGGAGAAAACTTGTAACAATGATTCCATTGCAATCTCTTCGGAAATCTCTGTTAGCCTGTAGCCTGTGTCAAAGAACTCTTATTATCGAGAAGTTTTAATGTTAGGTTGACCACCACGCTACCTCCACTGCCGCTTGCAGAGGTGGAGAAAAAGGTCGGCAGAGTTGCATGTCATGTTGTAAATGTTGGATGATAATGATACCTGGTTTTTTGTTTGTGGCACACAGGTATCCAGCAATCAATAAACCAGCTGCAGTGCTTCATTGGCTTAATCACGCTAAAATTGATGCAGAGTTCATAGTAATTCTGGATGCTGACATGATCATGAGAGGACCAATTACACCATGGGAATTCAAAGCAGCACGTGGGCGGCCTGTTTCAACTCCCTATGAGTAAGACAAGTCGTTTTTGTTTATCCCTTGAATTCTTTCAGAGCATGCACAATTAATTGTGTTTTGGGGTGTGGATGCATATATGTACAGTTATGGTTATTTACAGAACAAAAATCTGTGAGTCGCTTACTTTTCTTCTTCTCACATTATGTAGCTACCTAATTGGCTGCAACAATGAGCTCGCAAAGCTTCATACTCGTCATCCTGAAGCTTGTGACAGGGTTGGTGGTGTGATCATAATGCATATAAAAGATCTTCGGAAATTTGCTCTGCTGTGGCTGCATAAAACTGAGGAGGTTCGAGCTGACACAGCTCATTATGCCAAAAACATTACTGGAGATATATATGAGTCCGGGTGGATTAGTGAGATGTATGGTTACTCTTTTGGCGCAGCAGAGGTATTTCATTCATAATGAAGTGTTTTACTATCAAAATTTTAATTTCATGTCCTCCTTACTCCAACTTGCAGAATTGTACAATGTGTTTACTGCTTTCTTATGGTTCCTTTGAAATGGACAAAATGTTGTGACAGTTTCTTTTTCCACATTCTCCTGCTTATTGTCTACGATCTACAGAAAATTAGCACTCCTCTATAAGCTTAACCAAGTTCTATATGTAAACTAATAAAAATCTGTTTGTTATTTTTATGCAGTTGCAATTGCGGCATCTCATAAACAATGAGATACTGATATATCCGGGATACATTCCAGAACCTGGTGTGAAGTATAGGGTTTTCCACTATGGATTGGAGTTTAGTGTTGGAAACTGGAGCTTTGATAAAGCAAACTGGAGGAACGTGGACTTGGTTAACAAATGCTGGGCCAAGTTTCCTGACCCTCCTGATCCTTCAATGCTTGATCAGGTTGATGAAAATGTTCTACAGAGAGACTTGCTAAGCATAGAATGTGCAAAGGCACTGAATGAAGCTTTACATCTGCACCATGAGAAGAGGAAATGTCCTGATCCTGGTTCCTTAGCCACTCCAAATTTTGAGACAGCCAAGGAAGCTACAATGTCAAGGAAATTTGGGAGGCTTGATGAGATCCATGCCCTAAGAAGTCCTTTTCCAGTGAATCATTCTCAGGAATCTTCAGTACCTGCATCGACAAACCAGACATTTAGTTCTATGAGGTTATGGATCATTGGTCTATGGGTTTTCTCGATTTCAGCTTTTGTGGCTGTAATGTGGGTGATGATTTCAGGTCGTAGAGGACAGAAAAAAAGAGCTAAAAGTCATAAGACCAAGAGAAGAGCCTCGTATTCAGGATTATGGGATGTGAATGGGCATGATAGGCACCTCCGCAGTTCTGAAATATTGTAGATAATTTTGAAATTCTGGTGTGAATCGGAAAATATACGATGTCTGCTTGTGGGACTTGCTGGAATTGGAAAGGGATCTAAAGCACACATGGTTAGGTTGAGACTGACTGGAATTAAACACAACTGTTTTTTGCAGTGGAAGAGAGTTGTGTTTTGGCCATGTCAGTATTCGGTTTTGCTGGTTTACAGAGCAGTTCTTGTTTGGCATAGTTCAGAATCTTGAGTCCCATGGCAGGAAGAAAAAAAAAAAAAGACTCATGTTAAATTTTGGGTATCCATTTGGTTAACTGCTAGTTCTTGTGTATTTGTAGTATTGGATCAAGTTCTCTTGGAGATTGTCTTAAAAAAACACTGGACATGGCGATAGAGTTGACAGCAGTCTGACCGGATAAAGAGCCAGAAAAAGCTTGTGGAGAGAAAATTCTTCATTGTAACGTTGAGTTTTGTACTCCCTGTGTGTTGCTTGTTGGTATTTTTGTGAACTTTTCCTTAACTTCCACGGGTGACGGTTACAATTTTGATGTAAGCTTAGACCTTTGTGGTAGGTAAAGCTACTTCAACTACATTAGTTACCCAGTTCTTGAAGATGCTCAAAAGAGTTTATTAACTTCAAAGCATTTAGTGATATGCCTATTGAAAGAGATGAAACCTTTTGTTATCTCTTGGTCCTTTACTCATGCAGTGGGGTAGAATACTTGCAGATTGGCTGATGTACGTTTAACTGCAAACATTTGGTTTTGCTAATGTGATGTTGCAACAACTGGGTTGTTCAGCCTGTTACATCTCCAACCTCTACACTTTCAACCAACACTCACTTTTCTTTTGGTCAATTTGTGATTGAAGATTCAAAAATCTCGTATCAATTACCCAGTAGTTTTTTTTTCTCTCTATCAAACACCATATTTTTCTAACTTGTTTCTCAAATTATCTTTGTTTTCATTAAAATGTGTTAAAACTTGACGTGTTTTATTAATATACTTGTACATTGAAAAAGCACAAAGTCGGTCGGATCATGTTTTATGAAACTGTGATAATTTAATGAATATATAAACAACGTACAATATTAATGATTGCACAAATCCTCATTTGCTTCATTTATTGACTAATGTTGTGTCTTATTGGAGCACCTTAGTTGTATCCTCTTTCTTTTTGATTGTTAATTGGATCGAAAATTATAATTTTTAAATATTAAATTATAATTTTTTTGAGGTATAACGTATAACTTTAAAAGACATGATCGATCATAAAATATTGTGATCGATATTACATTTTTATGATCGATCATAACCTTCTTTTAAATAATTGTAACTTTTTTTTTTAAAATTGTAAGTTTACCATAAAAAGTAATAGCCGATTGATACCGTTACCTAATTTTTTTTTCCGTAGAGTTTTCCTTGTTAATTTGAAACTTTTTATTTTTTTTTGAAACTAACAACCAAGATTCCATGAGAGAAGAATCCTTGGAATATCATCCACTCCTTGAAAATTCAAAAAAAAAATGACCGTTAAAGACATTATTATTAATTTCAAACAAGTGGGACCCAGAACAAGCTGAAAACGACTTTGAGCTCCCAAGCATGGTTAGGAAACCCGACCACCAGAATTAAAAAAACGCATACCTTTTCCACAACGTATGCCTAGAACTAGAAGAGCTTTTCATTTGAATTTCAAATTGTAAGTCTTAAAACGATCGCAATAAAGTTTTAGCTTTTTTCGGTTTCTATTCGAGTTACTGCTCTAGGTTCTTCGTTCTCATACTGCGTCCGCCATGGGAGAACCTACTTGTGTTGTGAATCCTTTCTCTTATGCTTCTGGCTTATCCAATGAAGCTCATCAGGTGAGGAACAAAATTTGAATATAATTACCATTACCCATCTCTCTCTCTTTCTTCAATTCTTCAGCATTTGATCATATAGCTTTCAGTTTAGTCCATCATGCCATTCATATATCTAACAAAAATGGCATAATTATTGGGAACTTTCTAGTTTTATGTGAACTTAGCAGAAATATAGAAGATATGAGATTGAATTAGAATTTGGGTTTGAATTTTTGAAGGTTTTTCAGGGAAACCCCATGCCTGCTCTTGGAGAGTCTATCTCTTTTGGAAGGTTCATGTCGGAGTCCTTGGCTTGGGAAAAATGGTCCACATTCTCTCACAATCGCTACGTTGAAGAGGCCGAGAGGTATGCGCAACCAGGCTCAGTTGCCCAGAAGAAGGCTTTCTTTGAAGCTCATTACAAGAGAATTGCTGCCAAGAAGGCAGCAGCCTTGCTCGAGGAACAAAATGCTGTCAGTAACAACATTGGTGCAGAAATTGAAGGTGGAGTTCGTGATAGTACCACCCATGATTCACAAACAGTGGATTTGAATTCCCAAGTGGCTGTTGATGAACACGAGGCGGCCAAGACCCAAGTTACTGAGGTGGAATTCACCGGCAAGGCGGATGTATATGATTCGAATGTTGTACTAGTTGAACCAGAAAATGGCAAGATGGAAGGAGCTGATTTGGTCACAACAAACGAGGATCTAGGAGCAAATCCCACAAAGGACGAGTTATATAACCAGCTTGAGAATCAGAAAATGGGTTCTGGGGAGCTTATTGGAACACCACAAATGGAGAAACCTCTGTTGAAGGTAGTACTTTTCATGTACATGATTATTACTCCTAAGTTCTAATCTCAGTGTTATACAACTAAACTATTGCTTTTACTACACCAGAGTTCCAGATCTAATCAAGAGGCTTCCTCCCCTGTGAGCAAGAAGAAACCATTTATGTCTTCCTTGAAGTCATCAATTTGCCATAGACCATCTAAAGTTCCATTTTCTCCTGCCAAGACCGCGGTTACTATTCATGCCCGGAAAGAGAACATCGCTCCAACACCTAGGAAGCCTGCAATAGACTCTATAGACAAAAATGGACCAACTCCAAAATCACTACGTTCATTAATTAACTTTACTCCGTCCAGGGAACCTAATAAATTTACTAACCCGGGTAGCCGGATGACAGAAAGTTCAAGAGTTGCTCTTAGTGCTTCTAAGGCAACTAAAGATTGTGAAACTCCTCTAAGGACTCCAAAAATGGTACTTTAAATTCCCTGCTAGCAACATTTTCCGAAATGTTTTTTTCTAAATGCTGGTCCAGATCTCATCTGGGGGGACCTTTCTACATTGCTAAGACTGGTTTCATTTTTCAACTACAGGTTTCTGTGAATGGAGTGCCAAAGCATCCTTCAGCAACCCCCTGTTCAGAAAATAGAAGGTACCTGGTTTATCTAATTCAGCTGAAAATGGAAGAATTTTGGATTTATAACTAAGACGTGTGTTTAGAACATTTAGTACTCTAGCTAATATTTTACAGTTTAATCATATCTAAAACTTGCAGGATCAAAACACCAGTTGATCCCACAGCCTCTGGAAGCAAACCATCTGGCCCAAAATGGCAACTCCTATCTGCAGTGTAAGAACTTGAATATTACTATGAATTATTCCACTATGTACCATAGATAGAACCATTAAGGTATAGGCTCATTGAAAGAAAGATTGAAGAATTACATTGAACATGCAGCACAATTAACTCCAAGTCACAACATAGCACAAGAAGATTGGATTAGAAAAACTATAAAAAGATGAAAGAAACATTCTCCTGAATTCACTTATCACATGTTGACACATATGACGGTTCATGTGATCTGATGCTTAGTGTTGAATTGAATTGGTGTGCAAGTAACATGATTTCTGATTTCAGTATAATGAGAGTAACAATTAAATGAAAATCCTATTTTCTTGCTACTTGTGTGCCACTACCTAGAAGAGCACTAAGTTCTCTCATAATTGTGCTTGTTTGCCAGTTATACCAAGTCCGTGAGTGCCTGCCGAAAAAAATTACAGTCTCCCACTTTGTCCACTCCATTTACTTTGAGGACAGAGGAAAGAGCTGCAAGAAGAAAGCAGGCAAGGCTCTGCTCAGTTGGTTTTTCTTCTATCCTTTACACATGATATATCTGTTTGGCTATAATTATGCATGATGGAGGTCTTTCTTCCTCTCATTTTCTCCCTGACCATTGACAGAAGCTTGAAGAGAGGTTCAATGCCAAGGAGGCACAAAAAGTGCAGCTGCAAACAAAATTAAAGGTTAGATTCTCATTGCCAAGTTTTCTTTTGCTATATGATCCAACTGACTGAAGTTTTCTTGGCAGTGGGTACTCCAACTAACGCCAACTAACAAATGAATAAGAATATACTTTGGCCAAACCGAGATATATCCTTAAGTGGTCTTAATCCCAACATCATCACTTATTCATACCTAAGTTCAACTTTGTTGTGTTTCAATCTTTTGTTTGTGCAGGAAAAAGCAGAAACAGAACTTAGAAAACTGCGCAAAAGCTTCTGCTTCAAAGCTCGGCCATTGCCTGATTTTTACAAGGAAAGAGACATACCAAAAAATCAGATAAAGCAGGTATCTCTTTCCATCAAATCTTTCACCTACTTCAGAGTCCAGAAATGCTCATAGATATGAATGCAATTACCCAAAATACAGCCTCAAGCAAAAGCTCTGATTCTTTAAGTGAAACTTAGGTATGTGCAACATGATTAATGAATTGGTCTTGGCTTCATGACAAAACATTCTTCGCTAAGAACTTGTGATTCCTGACTTTTGGAGAAGGCATTATTCTCCATTAATAGTTTATAATTCCACACTAGAAATCACGTATTTACTCGTCATATTCCAAATTTCTGCTTGGACATGCAAACATTCAATGTTCTTTCTTCTCTTCTTTCTTGCAGACTCAGCTGACTCATCCTCAGTCACCTAAACTAGGAAGAAAGCCCAGTGAAGCTCAGTGCAAAGCACAGTCGCACAAACTCCAACGTCTTTGAGCAAGAACATTGGTTCTGAGAGTGTGTTGGAAAAGAAAAGTAGAAAACCCCACTCCTTCTCTCGCTGCCCAACAAGAAATGATTATGCACGAGAACACTTCTGCTTCACTGTGGGTGCTAAATTGGGTATCACAATTGAGGAGGCTGGACACCAGAAATTAAATACAGAGATTGTTTTCCGGCTTCCTGTCAGCAGTAGTATGGAAGCATTGTTACATTTCGTGGTTTGTACCTTAGAAGAGTTAGTTTATGAGAAACTGTACTAAGGAGCATACTATTTGTTATGGGAATATAAACCTGTCCGTACATTACAAGATGCTGCAGGGTAGTTAACCAGTCCATCTGTGGAGGTACTCAAAACATGACCAAAGGAACTATAGATGGGCATTTGAGGTCCTATATACATTATGTCTAGATTGAAGACCTTTTATCTTGGGCAAGTTATTTTAGTTTACAAATCAAACCAAAAACGCCTCTTCATCCACTCAGTTGATGAGTTCCAGAAAATTTCAACAAAACTCTATAACAACATCAATGAAGACAGAAACAAAAGAGAACGGTTTCATATGAACAGTTGGTCAAAACTAGACTTCTATGGCAGATTTTAACCGTATAGAAATAATAGCATCCATCTATACACAGACAGGTAATTTAAATTGGAAGAACAGCCAAGACTAACAAGGTGAAAACAAACCAGCTAGCCTAAAAACATAGGAAGGAAAATAAAAAATAGACAGTATCCGATGAATGCCAGCATGAAGGTCGCCTTATCTCATAGTCCACCAAAAAACATTGTCATCCCGACTTAAATGTCAATGGAAGTTGGTTATGCCATTGTAAATCATATCTTTCATGGACATAGAGGAATAGAAATGGAAAAATGAAACGATTTTACATTTTCAAGCTCTATGTTACATATTAAAATGGTACTCGGGGAAACCACATCTATATAACTCAATGGACTGCTCCATCTTCTCAGCAACTTTATAAAGGAGAAATGCTATATGGACTTAAAATCTAGACTTAAAAACTAAACTTTATAATTAGAACTATTGATTTCACTGTGAGTTCCAACATTTATTGGGATTCACTACCTATTCAATGGTTGTGATTATCAAATCTAGTTTTTAAATTCATGCAGCATTACTCTTTATAAAGTCCACATTGAAGTGTTTTGTCAATTCAGCAGTCATATCATACAGCTTAACTATGCTATGCTAAAAGGTGTTTCTACCGACTAACCTCAATGAATCATCAGATTCCTTGCAAACTGCAACCAATATGTTTATTTCCCATCAAACTCTTGCATCTTTTGTCCATCTCTTCAAGATGTACTGAGTTGGGAGCAACTTTATGTTCCTATAATCAAGCACCTTTAATGCATGGCTACACAAAATTCCAGCAAACTGAAACTTCATACAATTGCAGGCAACTGAATCTTCGGATGAGCTGTATATAACTGTGTGCTCACGCTGTTCCCCATACATTCTAACTTTGTATTCAAGCGTAGAAGCACTCTGAGTGCATTGATTAACAACAAAATTCAGACAGTTCTCATATTCTTGCTGAAACAACTCAAAATTTTTGGGCGTGTAAATATCTCTTGCTTGCTTCAACAGAATCACGTCCCCCATTAGTCTTGGAAAATCTTGGCTCATATTGTAGTTGGCTTCTAATTCTTTGTAACGCCAATCATTCAGCGCCCTTCCAAAGTGCTTGAAAAATTGAAGAACATGCAATTCAAGTTTAAGGTACTTCTTTAAGTTGGAATTGAAAGTCTGAGAGAGTTGTGCACTTGTTATGTCAGCACAAAAAATTTGCCTACCATATGGTATGGCCCAGCTCTCTCTTTCCTTGAAAATTTCACGCAACCACTCATTTTCCCAAAGACTATAAGTGCCCAGCATAACTTTCCATGCATTAACAAAGTCTTCAACCTTTTCGTGATAGAAAATGCAACTGCTCAAATCACTAGCAAAAGAACCCATGCTCACAACTAGTTGGCTGAGACGATTGAGAGCATTTTGGTACACATGCCATGCACATAAGCGATGGAATGTTTGTGGCAATTCCAAGTTGATTGCTTCAGCCAATCTAGCATCTTGATCAGTGAGTATTGTCTTTGGCTTCTTTCCAGACATTGCCTCGATAAAAGTTCGGAATAACCACTTAAAAGATTCAACAGTCTCATCATATAAAAGTGCACCACCAAATATCACCACCTGCTTATGATGATTCACTCCAATGAAAGGTGCAAAAGGTCGACAATCTTTGTTCAGTCTATAGGTCGTATCAAAGCAAACCACATCGCCAAAATCACTGTAGTCCACCAGCATCTTCCCATCAGCCCAAAATACATTGGTCATTAGTTCTTCTGCATCAATTTGTAAAGCATAACAAAAAGACGGGTCTTTTAATTGCTTGCCGTGAAAATATTGAAGAATACTTTCTGCTTCTCCCTCCTGCATATCTCTCATTCGTTTGGATGGTAGATTATTTCTATGGTTTATTGGATAAAAACTATGATCATCCCAATGTCTAGTTAGTGGGCATGTGAACTCAGCAGCTGATTTTGGCTGCGTCTTAGAACAGTCTAGTGCACTAACTTCTACAGCTTGAACCTCGGCTGACCTCTTTTGTGATCGTAACATGCGAACCATACAAGATGGTACAAGCTCATGATTGTGATTTTCCTCAAAGTGAGTAACACGATATTTACCACCGGGTTGGCGAGAAATTACCAGTTGTGCCAAGCAACCAATTCTTGTTTCCTTTCTAGGTCTCTTGACATTGAAATCCCGTTTGTCTTTTTGTCGAAAACCTTCTCTGAAACAAGTGAACCTTCTGGATGCCACAGCACCATCTATTTTACTCCTGTTTACATAATCCTTTCGAACACTAAAGCCCACCCGTCCAGCATATGCATTGTAAAACTCGTAAGCATGATCTTCTGAGTCAAATCCCATTCCAAGTTTTGGGACCCCATCTATCAAGGTATTATTAGCAGATTCAGCCTCAACAGCTTGAGCAAAAGTTATTCTTCTTTGTGATGGTAACAAATGAGCTGTAAATGGTGTTGCAAACTCATGATTATGTGTTGTTTCCAAATGGGTGACACGGTACTTTCCATTAGGTTGGCGTGCAATTGTCATATGTGCCAAGCAACCAGTCCTTGTATCCGCTCGTGGTTGTTTCAAACCGGCATCACGCTTGGTAGGCCGATGACCTTGCTTATAACAAGTATACCTTCTTGATACTACCAAACCAGTGATCCTACTTTTATTTACAAAATCCTTCCGAACACTGAAACCTTCCATGGCAGCATATGTATTATAACACTTGTAAGCATGGTCTTCTGACTCAAATTCCACGCCAATTTTTGGTATCACAGATATGTTGGTTTGACCTTTTACAGAATTACAAGACACTGATATGCCAACTGATGAAACATCTGGATTCTCCAGCTTCCTGTCAATATTCATGCCCTGTTTGTTCGCAGAGGAAACAATAGGACTCTGGCTCTTGTGGTCACCATCAATATCCCATCCACTTTTGCTAATGGAAGAAGCTTCTGGGCTCTGGCCCTCATGTTCACTATACACGTCCTTCCTACTTTTGTCTGCAGCGGAGCCATCCTGGCTCAGACACTCGTGCTCATCATCAATGTCCAACCCAGGCTTGTCAATGGAGGAATCATATAGACTATGGCACTCCTGCTCACTGTCCATGTCTGACCCATTTTTATCTTCAAATGAACCATTTTGGCTCTGAGACTCATGCTCACCATCAATATACACCCCATTCTTGCTAACAGAGGCTACATATGGCCCCATACACATGTGCTCACCATCACTTTTCATGTTATCTCTGTCCACTGAGAAAACTTTTGGACTTGGAGACATGTCCTCACTGTCAATGTTCACATCATTCTAGTCAGCAGCTGAAACTTCTGAGTTTTAACACCTCCTCCTCATCAATATTTAGTCCAGATGGCACTTGGAATTTCTTTTCAATACGAGGCTTTAATATATCATGACCCACGCAATTGATCAACATGGTAGAGCTCATGATCATTCAAACATGTAGGTCCGGAAGAAGAATGGCTGACTTGTACAGTGCCTACCTTGAAGGGTTTACAGTGAAGCGGATCCCAAATCTCTATCCAAGAAAGGGCTTGCCTGGCTTCATTCCAAGAGAAAGAATACGTGAGATGACTGAAGAACAACATACAGCAGCATCAGAGCCAGATAAAAAAACATTGTTCATTATATCTGCACTTTTATATGATATACAAATAAACATAGTGTGCAAATAAAATGTTTATTATGAACATAAACTTCTAAATGGCCTCACAACACTCAGCAGCCAGCAGGGAAGAACATAAAACAGAGACATTTTACAGCTGATAACAATAAGGAATTGAATCGTTCTAATCAACTCAACTCAACTTAAATGATCCTTTTACCCATATGAAATTGCAGGTTTCTTGAGCAGATATTCACAACCAAATTAGATTGCAGCATTAGCGAGCTAAGCTTATACCCTTCTGGCGTCCCCTCTACTCTCACAGTTCACATAAATAGTTGTTTGAACAATGTCAAGCACTAAAAGGGTTTTGCCAAAAGAAGATGCATAAACCTAACCTGAAGACATAATTGATTTGATGAACGAGATTGGGACCTTTTTTGAGTGTTTTTTAGCATACCCAATTCATCACACAAATGGTCTGAAGCTAAAAAAACCCTAGAAAAAAGCAAAAAATAATTTCAATAGAACAAGATGGTTTATGAAATAAAAATCGAAAATTTTTGAAAGACAATGTGCACATGTGCGTGTATGGTATCAAAACCAAAAGAAAAGATGGCACATAAATCATATTACAACGAAACCAAAAGCAGAGAAGACTGCAGACCCACTAATTTAACAGCAACAATTTCATCTTTTGTATGCATATATGGATATATATTTCCAGGTAAACATTTACACAACGTATTTATTATCGAAAGAGATGGTAAAAGGGGAAGAAGAAAACCTGTGAGAGGATTTGATACGCAGAGGAGATAGAAAACCAAATCAAGACGGCTCTTTTACGGGGGGGCATAATTATGTATATGCTTATATAAATATACCAGTCAATCATCGGAGTGTAGCTCGGCAGTTTGAATTCTAGTTCTATGGCTTCTTCGGCTGTCCAGTCGGTTATGGAAGAAAACCACACTCTGGAACAAATCAGAGGGAATCTCTCTGTTATTTTTTTCCCTTCCTCTTTAGAGTAGAAAAATATTAATTAGACTAGTCAATTGGATTAGTCGATTGTCATTATTAGATTCATAGAATAATAGCAAAATGTTACAAGACACACAATTTTATTTATTCTTAGTCAAATCCTTTACATCTTTCATCTCAATGTATTTTATTTATACTTTTCTTTCTCTAGTTAAGATGAGTTTTTTTTTTTTTTTTATTAGATTGTTGGCAAATTTTGATTAAATTTTGATATTAATGACTTGCTAAAACATTAGAGGGCCATAGGCATAAGTATAGTGGATATTGAAAGCACAACCATTTCGTATAGTGTCAAGCTGTTTCAGTGTAATTCTATAAGTGTTAAAACATTAATTTTAATTTATTTAAATTGACAAAAGAAAAAATAAAGAATAAATTTGTTAGAATATAAATTTGATACCATTTGTATTTATCAGATAATTAACACAAATAATATTTGTTAGAAGATAAAATATAACGTAATTCAATACAATATATCGTATTTATATTTACCGGCCGACCGACCAAAAAAGTTACATTAATGAACCCGATGACAATTCCAAAGGTTAGACGGCACAGTCCTTTCCCAACCATATCTAAATGATACATCGACAATGACACATTTAATAATAAAAAAAAATTAATTATGTACATAATACATAATTAATTGAAAATAAAATAAAAATAAAGAGAGTGAAATCATTGCGTGTAGAACAGAAAAGACTCAAAGCCATTGAAGAATCACAAATCTCCCACCAAACACCAACCTTCATCCCCATCTACTTGTTCCAACATAATCCCCACATCACAAAAGCTCATTTTATCGTCATCATCATCTCTGGCATTATTGTCATCATCTTCATCCTTGCATTCAACGGCTCCAGAGTCAACCAACAAACCATGACGAGCGACTCCGCATGATCCCTCATAAGCCTCATCATCATCATAAATATCATCATACTCCTCATCCTCATAATCAGTAGTAGCCAAATGATCCAAAATTCCAGAAGCAGAGAAACCGGGAAACTTCAACCCGGATTTAGCATCCACGACCCGCCACGTGAGCAACCTATGATTCGAGACGACGTCGCATGATCTCCACTTCTGGGTCCCCTTTGCTTTGTCCTTTGACTTGCAAGCCGGGTGAATATGGCACCCAACACACCTGCCTCGGCCACACTTTCCGGTGAACTTGGAGTGGTTGGTGGGCTTGGGTGAGACCTTGGTGAACAACCCGGCGGTGGGGGGAGACTCGAACCGGTTGACGTATCTGGGTTCTGGTCTTGGGTTCAATGGCGATGGAAGGATCATGTAGCTCCGAACCATGCCATGTTGGCGTCCCTCCCTCTTCATCTCTGGTTGTTGTTGAGAGCTGAATGAAAATGGGGATGAAATTGTGTGGTGGGGTTATCTGGCTTATAAAGCAGTTTTTTTTTATTTCTTGGGAATTAGGAAACTTGGGAAGCAAGATGTGTTTGATTGGTCAGTTGTTTCGTGTTGGCCAAGCCTGAAGGTTCATTGACAGCTTCTCCATCTTTACAGGTTAATCTCATTTTACACTTCGGAGAATATTTTAATTTTTAATTTATACCCTCAAATATTAAAATTTTTAATTTACACCCTCAATAATATAAATTGATATCAATGTAAACCTTGCCCAAATTGCTTTCAGTTTTTCATTTTAAATTAAAGCACATGAGTTGTAAGCATTTTAGGCATAGGCTTTATGTATAAATTCACATATTGTTGATATTTAATATGAGTTGCACATAATATGATTAGTTTCTATTTAATTAATGAAATTTATTTTCAATACACAAAACGGTGTTAAATTGACCAAAGACGAAGACCTACAACGATAGACATTCCTCATCCTCATGCCAAAAGCATTTGCACATTAAGTGCTTAAATTTATAACAAAAAACTGAACGACAGCCTTGTCAAGTTAAAATTACTACCAATTCATAATATTAAGGGCATAAATTAAAATTTTTAATGTTTAAAGATATAAATTAAAAATAAAAACATTTTTTCGAGTGCAAAATGAGATTAGCCCATATTTATATCATCATCTAGTTAGCTGCCTATCCAAAATAATAACTCCGTTAAAGTACTAAAAATTGAATGATGATCTTGCTTGAACTCCTCTAATTGCTTTGACAGCTAAATCAAAGTGCTTTTGGATCTAGGAAGAAGGGGCTATTTTATTTTATTTTTTCGGTAAGAGAAGTGACTATTTTAGAGTAACCCAATTAAATATTACGCTAATTTGGCTCAACGCTGTTTATACACGATTGATATTCAATTATGCATAATTATAAATAAATCACGTATTACTTCAATAAACTTTGATGGCACGATTTAACTCGACAAGACCCATTTAACAACTCTTGATCTAGAGGTAGAGAGAGATGGCCATCTATTACAGCTCAAAAACTCTCCCAATTAATAGATAACTTATAATTTTTTATTTTTTTTTTAGGTTTGAAAATTTCCTTAATTTAACACATAATTTTTGGGAAAAAAAAAAAAAAAAAGAGAGGCTGTCTTTGGCCTTATTGGCTTCACAGCATGCATCAGCCACCTTCCTCGTCTTTAGGCTGTTCCTGGACTACCTACAGCAAAATATTATGAAGATAAGATGATATAGATCATCTACAGCATCCCATTCTGTTCACATAATTCAGAAAATTTTGCACATCCCCTAGCATGATGAAGCGCCCGACACCAATGTCGCAGTCTGATCACAGGAGCTCCAAACCTGACTAATTTTATCACCTGTACCAAACTTTAATATAATGCTTTCGGAAAAAGCTTTATCCTATTCCAGTTACAAATACAGTCACTAAAAGGTACACCCTCCAACGGACCTTTTCAGAGTCCAAAATAAGCTATAATGGTTTCAAATAGATGATCTCAGGAGGAGAGATGTTCTGAAGTTGATCCTCAACTTCTAATCTCCTCTAATCAACCATGCATGCAACTGGGATGACTAAGTCATTTATTTTCCATCAGTTCGTGAAAGACATGTGAATCCATAGGTGCAAAATCATTTTTTCATCCATGAGAAATTTTCAACAACATATTCGAGCAGTATGACATTAATGTCAGACCAGGTTCCAGCAGCCATTTGTTTGCCAATACTCAACACTGACACACACATAGAAAGAGCGGGAGAGAGAACTTCACTGATACGAAGCTTCAATATTAATGGATCTTGCTAATTCATTGCTTGCATAAGTGCTTTTGTATGGATATTGTTCACCATGAAGTGTTTTACTATACATATATGAGATAAACATGAACGTTAACTTCCATGCAATGGCAAGCATGAATCTTAAAGCTAAGCTAACCACTAGACATTGTCCAAATGAGGGTGATCGGAAGACTTAAGAAGTGCCTCCTCCTTGCTTAAAGCATCAAGATTAGGAGAAATTACCATTTTCTTGGCAGGATAGAGCACATAATGTTGCACGATGAAGATAATGTCAAAGAAAATGGACACCTGCAATGTTCATTCACCAAAACCAGTGCAGAATAAGTTTCGGTACACATTTCCCTTTTGCCCTTTTGATCATCTATGAGGATTTGAGAAAAAATAGAAAAACAGAAATACCAAAGTTACAATTGCAGCATGTAAGGCTATGGTAACTCATGCATCTTGAGTATTAACCAACTATCAACGAAAAAAAGCCTTTTGCAAGAAATGTTTTATATTATCCCTCCCTTCATTTTGGATCCGGTACCACTTCAGGGACATGATACTCAAAGCATCAGAGAAAAGGACAAAAAGGAGATCGATCAATTTTTAAATCCTAAGTTTTCATCTCTAGGGACACAAGTGTAAAATCTGCTACCACCAAGCCTGATACAAGTACATGCCCAGCTGAAATAATTTTAATGTTTTGTTGGAAATAATCAGCATGACTAACAAGAACCTTTGTTTATTTCCTTTTTCTTTCCTGGATCAGGTCTCCAGCAACAAAAGCAAAGGTAATGTCGGTTCCTTTTGTTCTCCACTGCCTCAAAACTCTTAAAATCTTTTTAATTTTAAATAAAAAGGCTTAGTATAAATTTAAGGAAATAAAAAATAAAAAAAACTATAGGGAAAGGAAGTTAATTTCACTTAAAATTATGATAGCAGCAGAAGAATAATCTGCCGTGAAATAAAGGGAGATGTTTAGACTAAATGAAATCAGAGGAGAACATTACATACCAAAGATAACAGTGTCTTCCCAATATTTCCATAAAAGTTCACCCAGGAATCTGAGAAGACAAGAAGTAGGCATATTATAATAGGCACCAGGTACATTTTCAGGCGGAATTTTTTTCTTTTCTTTGCACATCTTATATCTAAAGGATTGTTGGAAGTATTACATACTTTGATCTATAGACTGCACAGCCATCTGGCCATAATTTGTCACGCCTCCAAATAAATCAAGCAAAATGTTGCCAATGCTAAATCCAACCGTGCTCTTTAGCCGAAAGTTCATAAGTGCCTATTATTTTATAGCAGAATCCAGTATTAGAAAATAAAGCCAATCATATAAGTGAAAAATTCCAGATCAGTACAGGATATCATGCTTATACATGCCCACAATTTCCTTCCAATTATTTCAAGAATTAGAGACGACTAAGACAAGGGTATTTATTATCAATTCTACTTATTAAAACAGCAGGAGCAAACAATATCAAAGTGAAGGAAGGGAAACCTAGCAAAAAAAGAACTATTTCACTCAATAGAGAAGGGAATACCTAGTATATATGCATCTAACTTTAGGAAAATAAAGGTTTGCCAGCAATTCAAATAAAGAGAGACGTAAACTTGCATAAAAGAATATATACTTGATCCAACATGATAAAATCTCAGGAATAGCAGCACAGATCTTCCATATGGTATAACACATATAGAAGATCAAATATTATACATTATATCCTCAAAGTGGAATTTGAATGTCAAAGGAAACAATGGAAGGCAAATTAAAATGCCAAGGGAGTTCTGTGTTTTAGCAACCAGATAATCCCTTAATACCCTTAGGAAGGAGCAAGTGAAACAAGGGAAAATTACAATCACACCACTCAGGATTTACTCAAATTCCAGGGGAAACCCTCAAAGTTTCTGAATGATAAGCAGTTGGTTTACTAGTTTCCAGATGTGGCAGTGATAATGATAAGCAGCAGCAAACATAAAGGCAATGATCAATGAGTAAAATTGGCAATATTTTGTTAAGTTCAAACAATTAATAGGGGAAGACAATAGTAACCTGTGGAATATATTTGATGACTGTCATAACAACTTGCAAAGTGCTGCAATCACAATCGAAATATTGATGGTTAGAAAGCAGCCAATAACAGAGTCACATGGGATAAAAATGATCCAAATAGCCAAAATTGCTTATCTGACAATCAGACTAATGAAGATGTGGAACAGGAAAGTAAGAAAGTTCTGACTTACAGGCCATTATAGAGAAGTGAGGTTGTTATTATGCACTATTATATCTCACTGAGCTGATTATTATTTTAGAGGTAGTAAGACTTGTGCTGTGACAAATATTTGTGTTCATTCTTACGAAATCTCACAGACTTGACTTCATTGATTCCATTCAAATGAAGACAGATTTGCAAGGGTTAAATTTATACCATGTCCATTATCTTTATTATTCACTATAGTAGCTTTTCCCTTTCTTTTCTCTCTTTAGGGTGAGGAACAGACTCAAGTAATTCAAAAGGTACTTACTTAAAGCAGGAGATTAGCCAAAGCCAGGAGTGGCTTGGCAGAGCTATGAACACACAAACTGCAGCAACTAACCACGCAACAGTGACAATTCCAATAGAAGTCTTTGAGACCTTCTGATTTCCACGCTGTACAAAGAAATCAGCACAAGTAGATATGAATGCACATACCACGATCTCCAATATTCATGATGAAACAAATCAATTGTATGTTTGGATGGAAAATATATATAGATCACCATGTTCTTGAGAGCAAAACTTAACACAAAATTTTGCTCTTGAAATAAAAAATAAGAACCTTTAAGATGCTATAAAACAAGATAAAATTGCTAAGGCTTCGTTTACCCAAGCCGCTGAGTATTGGAAACAGAATATAATGCAAACTTGTTGGAATTGTACTGAAGTGATCAATTGGTTGAAGATCTAGGGTGGTTGGAATGAAGAAGATGCTAAATAAGAGTCAGCTACTTACTTCGTAAATAGCAATTTGGAACAACGTAAATGCAGTCAATAGAACAGCATGCACTGAGAAAGCTACATCATTTGCAGCTACAGGTATCATCTGCAATTAAACAATCAGAATACAACGAAAAATGAGAGACATTCAAAAGAATTTTTTATAGTTTCCTTCAAGAAAAATGCTAAAAACGATGCAACATCCTCCATCAATTTAGCATCATTTCAGAGTCCAGATATCTTTCCCAACCCCAACCACCCTGAAAAAAGGAAAAAGAAAAGTAACTTCCTAGAGGCTGCTAAGTTCACACGTAGCCTTCTTTAACTTCCGAAACGCATAGAAAAGAACTCTTAAAGTACAAAAAAACTTGAAGTCATTCATTATCTCAAAAATGATGAGAGAGAGAAAAGGATAATCCAAATTCCAAAACCATTTCCAGATTCACAATGGAAATCACTCTGAACAATCATGACCCTAAAATATAGTAATTGGATGAAGATGCTTACAGAGTAAACGATTTCAATAGCCAAATGTTCAATAGCTGAGAAACCTGATAAAACTAACACATGATACTAGCCCCCCCCCCCCCAAAAAAAAAAAAAATCTCCAAAGTCATATCGAAGAAAAGAGAGAGTGCAAAATATAAATAAACCGAAAAATGAAATAGGCCAGAGAGACAAACCTCATCAAGGCCATATTTCTGGCGGTACTGCCTCTGAACATCAGAGCTAAAGAAGAGAGAAGCGTTGTAGATGAGATACGATGAATGTTTCGTCAGATTCAGCACCACGAAATCGAAATTCAGCCCCACCACACTAAATTCCAATCACCCAGAAGATCATTTATACAGATATTGGGAAAACAACAGTCAATTTAGGAGATTCTTGAGAAAAGCCTTCACGAAAAAATCAAAACCGCAGAAAATTGACTGGGGAACTGAATTAATGATGGAATAGTTAATACCTTTTTCGTCGAAAATTTAGGATGACTTGGGGATAGAAACTGATCGACCAAGAGAAAAAAGCGACCCAACCCAACACGTTGTATAACACTTCCAGCGGAACAGAATTCCAGGACGCCATTTTCTCACTGAATCTGTTTCTCTTCAAACTTTAGTGGGTGACCCAAAGGTGAATCTTTCGTTCTTACTCAAATGCTGGGGAAGGTAAGGTGAGGCCTGGGGTGGTATAGTACGTATATAGTTGAAGGAGTCATAGATGATGATTTATATACGTCCGCCAGCGGTTACGAACCAGAGCTGACTCCTCCATTTTCAGAGGATGGTTTGTCCCAATGAGCCAATTGGGGTTTGGGGCGGCAGTGAAAATGTGTGTTATGAACCTGGACGGACTATCGTCTTCATTCCTATAGCCAATTTTCTTTGCGATATAATTATATTCAAACACTTTAAAATTTGTTATTTATTTTTGATATCTTCTATATAATAAAATACAATGAATTTAAATTTTGAAAATAAAGAGTGGTTTAAATCTTTTGTTACCAAAAAATACATCATCTAACGGACGATATTATCATAAACTGACTCGAGCTATTGACGTTTTTAGATCGTTTTAATTTAATGTACCATATTAACTTTTTAAAAATATTTTTACTGTTCAAAATTTATAATTTTTAAAATTGATATTCCAAATTTTAATTTTTCAAAATCTTTTCCTTAAATCAAGCAAATATCTCTCTCATTTCTCTGTATCTCTCACACGCTCAATTCATGTAAAAAGTATTAATTTTTTACAATATTTTTCTCTGTATCTTTCACTGTATCTCACAAAAAAATCACAAAAATATTAGATAGTCCCTAATTTAAGCAAATGTTATATCTCTCGGTAAATAGATAATATATATCACAGAGAGATAATATATTACGAAAATATTCTTCTGTATCTCTCTCTGAATAAAAATTATGTAATAAATATTAGATAGATAATATATATCACAAAAATATTCTTGTGTATCTTTCTCTTTTATTCAAATAATATTACAAACACGAATCATATAAATTCAATAGTCAATTTTGTTTTTTCCATAATCAATAAAAAAAAAGCATAACTTGTAAAAAATCTAATTAATAAAAAAAATATACTTAACATGTAAAAATATACAAGATTAAATTAAAGTTATTAGACAACTCAGATATCAAGAGATATATTAAAGAAAATATGTTTAACATTTAAAATATAAAAGAATAAATTTATATATAAACACGATTCATACAAATTCAATATTTAGTGAACAACACAAAGCAACAAATATTTACTAAATAATCCAAATATAAATACCCGAGAAAAATAATACAAAGTTACAAGTGAGAGAAATGTTACAAAATTATAAACAATATTATGAACACGAATAATATAAATTCAATATTTAGTGAGCAACACAAAATAACAATCTTTACTAAACAATCTAATATTAAATAACGTTTAGTTTAAGAAAATATAATAAGAATATAAATAACTGAGAATAATGATATAAAATTAAAAACACTACAATAAACTCATATCATACAAATTCAATAGTTATGTCGTATCTTTTGAAAGTCGGTTGAATTTTTTATAGTTATATTTGATCATTTGACAACATTTGCGGACTTAATTTATTTGTGGGAGTATTATTTTAATTTTCATTCTATTAGTTATGAATTCTGTTATTATTTAGATAAAGTTGATTATGAATGTCAAAATCATGAATTTTGAATCAAAAACAGAACATTGAATGTTGTAAATTGATATATTTTTTCAAATGTTTAAATTATTATGTTTCAGTAGTTATAACATAATTTTCATAGCGTAACAATTTAATGTGAAAATATATGTTATGCATGTAGGTTGATGTCATAAAAAATATTAGCGGACTCATTTTGTTTGTCATTTACTATAATGTTGTATTTTTCTTTACATTTATGTATGGATAAATATTTGTAACTAATTTACGAGTAACACTGTGCTTTCAAATACGAGCAATTGCTAGTTTAAAATATTACACATAGACTCGTGGAACACTTCAACCTTATTGCAAATATTTCTATTAATAAATTATATTTAAACCCCCTATAGTTTATAAATATATATTATTTAAATCTCTTAAGTTTTAAATGTTATACATACACCAAAAATATTTCAATCAAAAATAAAATATCAGATATTTTAAATTATATAATTAAAATTCATATTCTATTGTATCATTTATTGAAATAAAATCAAAAATAAAACTTTAATTTTTTTTAAAAAAAATCGTAATTAATATACAATTATATTATCTATTGGAATTTAATTTGGTTATTTAAACGACCAAATTAAAATAACAAACTACCCTAAATAAAACTAAAAGATATTGTGTTCATTACAGCTTGACCCCTTGTTTAATTTTTTAGTTTTATTCTAATAAATAGTATAATTATATACTAATTATGATTTGTTTTTTAAAAAAAAATTAGATTTTTATTTTTTATTTTATTTCAATCAATGATAGAACATGAATTTTGGATGTAAAATTCATATTCTATTATGAATAACTTAGACTCCTTGTTTATTTTTTAGTTTTATTCTAATAGATAGTATAACTGTATATTAATTACGATTTTTTAAGAAAAAAATTAAAATGAATTATTTCAATAAATGATACAATGAACACGAATTTTAGTTGTAAAATTTAAAATATTTGATATTCTATCTTTGATTAAAGTATTTTTAGTTTAAGTATAATATTTAAACTTAAGGGGTCTACGTATTATATACCTACATATGTCAGAAGGTTTAAATGTAATTTATTACAATCCTTGAAGGGTCTATGTATGAGTTTAAGCGATTAAGTGACAAATCTTAAGAAGTCTTAGTGTAATTCTCTTTATTTTTTTGCTAGTTTTAATTGGTTGAATATTTTAATTGCAATATAAAAAATTTAGTAATTACTGGTGCCTTAAAACACGAAGTAACCAAAAAATAATATATTATGCCAAAAATTTATATATGCACGACAATTTAAACTGGTAAATTAAAAAATTCATAATTTCAATTGAAAATCGAAAAAAACCATATTATGATTATACATATAAAGGGTTAAACGGAAAAAAAAAAAACAAGGCAAAAAAAGAAGAAGTTGTGAAAGAGTTAAAGTAAATAACATGTTAAAAATATAAATCATATTTTTAATGTATTTGAATTGTTAGTATTACTCATGCATCAATCATTTGATGAAATTTATATAATTTACGTCTTTTAAATACCTATATTACCTTGTCAAAATATATAATATCTTTATTGCTATTGTGACATATAATTTAATAACATAATTTAGGAACTTAATGTCTTGTGACAATTGAATTGACAGTAGAGTACATTCAATGCTGGAATCCATCGACAATTCAATAACCACAATTATTTATGGAATACTCTAAAATCACCTATATTGTGTTGTCCCTAATATCAACTATGTAACCGAAGAGTCATCTGAAAAAGAATCTGACAAATCAGTTATTCCTCATGGTTCTTGCACTTCATTTGTTTAAAACTCTTCAAGTCAAGGACAAGGAACATTTTCGGCTAGCTTTTGCATTGGATCAAGCTTATACCCTTTTATTCTCTTCTAATATCACTTGACATGTCTAACCTCTTATTTGTTTACAGTTATGTGAGGCAACAAACAAAGTTAAAGATCCACATATTTATGCTAATCTTAAAATATGTATAATAATCATTGACAAGATGCATTTTGTGTTGATGCTATGAGGAAGATTAGTTGTTCATATTCAAATCTAGAAAAATACGATAATTATTTTCTAAATTAGAAAATACGGGACAATCTAATTATTACATATTGCTTGCAAAAGTGCAATTATTTTATTTTCTGGTTTTTATCACAATAAAAGAATATTCATAAAGAAAATTTATAGTTTGCTAACATTAATTTTCTTAAATACTTTTTTTCTCAAATTTAATCTATCCACTCTTACACCACATAAAGGCTGATTAGTTTTTTTATTTTATTTTTTGATTTTGTTTCGAATTATGATGTCTCATTCATAGTTAAGTGGGATTTTTATTTCGAATCATTGACCAATTTGGTCTCCCTTAATCGAGTTTGCTAGGATGTATGATCGTCAGTAGAGATTTGAATTTGGATATTATTTAGAAATTATGCAATTTGTCTTACATAGTTTTTGTAATTTTTAGTATTGGCAAAGAGAAGTTATTTGGTTTTTGGTGCGGCTTGGCTTGGTGGAGCATGATAGAGAAGAATTGGAGGGAGTTGTTGGAGTGAGTGTATGTCGAAATGAAGGAGCCCCATAGTATTTGTGTATTTTGTGGGTATTTGATCGAAAAGTTGATTCGGATTTCTGTTTGGGATAGGGTTCAGGTCTAAGGTTAGGTGGGGATGTGAGGTCTGGGGTCTGGATTCGGATCCAAGGCCAGGATCAGCTCAAGTCTTAGATCGGGTCTAGGTCCGAGGTCAGGTTTGGGTCTGAGTTCAGGGTCGAGTACTAGTATAAGGTCAATTACGGGGTTGGGTCGGGTTCAGGTTTGGGTCGGTCTAAGCATGGGATCTGATCTTGGTCGGGTCCAGATTTGGGGTTGGGGTCAGGTCCGAGTCTAGTGTTCATGTATGTGTGTATTTTGGTATATCTGGTGTAGGTGCATGTGTGTATTAGTGTGTATATTTTGATGTATCATTATGTGTATATTTTGATTTGTAATTAAAATGATCTGTCACCAAAATTTTGAAAGTGATCTTTAATCATTGGATCAGTAGTAAAAAATTCTAAAACGATCTGAACTACAAAAACAAAAAGTAATTTTTTATATTTTTTGGGATTCGAAATGCCTTATACTTTATTATATAGATGATTTTTTCTAAATAATTAATCTTAATTATGGATAATAACTTGGAGTTATTAACACTTTTCACTATCACAAAAAAAATTCACTATTTTAATTTTTAAATGATACGTTATAACAAAGGAAAAGTACACACATGTGAATAAATAAAAGCCCCATAGAAAAGGATGAGAAATGAAAGTTAGCCTTTTGTAAAAATTGGCTCTTTACCTCTTTTTTTTTTATCAAAGGCTCTTTACCTCTTAGCTGATAGATTCTTGAAAAAATAGTGCCTTTTATTTATCAAAAAAAAAAGAGTTAGTCGTAGTTAGACTAAAATTTCTTGAGAAAGAGCCCACGGGCAACACATCAATTACAGGTATAGTACTCTTGTTTACAAAAACAAAATAGACGGTATCGAAAAATAGTTTTTTTATGTTCAAATAGGGATGATAGTAGACGGGAAAAAAATCGAAAATGGATCATACGTATTGAATGATGTACGTTTATGAAAATACCCATATAAATCCTTGCAAAGATGAACTAAATCTTATCCCTCCATTGCCCTGCTAAACCCATTAGGTGTATATACACACACACACACACATATAGTATATTTAAATTAATCATGCCATGATAAATTCAAATTATATGATATATATACATACAACTTGTACTTTAATTGTTATGATTTTTTTTTAAATTATATAAATTAATTGTAATGAACGGGGTGAAGGCGGGGATAGGGATTAAAATTTACTCAGGTGATAGAATAGAGATTAAAACTTACTTGGCTAACGAAGATAAACTAAGAGTTAACGAACTTTTTTTAAGCACGTACGGAGGGGGAGATTTGTCCCAACTCCACTGCCATTCCTTTGTCCGAGTGCTATTCTCTTCCGGAAAGCCATCTTGTTAAACCAAACAGAGCATGACCTTGGGCCAGCTAAGAGAGAGAGAGAGAGAGAGAGTCTATTCCGGGTCCGGGTGGCTCCATCTATTGCGTCCGCTTTGTTAGCTCAAACTTTATTTGGGCCGAACAGCTGTACTTGGTAATACGGGCCAATGCCCCAATAAAAACCCAATTCCGTAAATCCATTTCATTTACACATAACATTACCAGTTAGTTACATTAACCGCCACCGCCGAAGAGCCCGAACCCGACGGCGGAGACCAAGATTGGTGGAAGGACGATAATATTGACTTTAAAGGCCCCAAAACGGTGGCGGCATCATCATCAGCATCGTCAATGACGATGCTCATGTGGTTTAGTGTGGTTGGGACTGTCATTCAAGTCCCCTTCGATGAGACTTCTCAAGTGTTCTATTCTCATTTCTCTGGCTCTTACTCGAGCTATCTCTACTGAATGGGAGTATGAGGTACTCTCACGCTCGCGCGCGCGCACACACTTCATTGTACTTCCATAATTTGCAAAAAATATTTTATGTTTTGGGTTTCTGAAATAATGATTGTTCACGCAAGATGCTAATCCTACAGCAAGTGGAAAAAATTAATCCTCTACTCGATTGGGTACTCATTGTGTTCTCCAGTTTCTTTGGTGGTAAGCAGGAGGATGGTCTTGTAGATGCCATAGAAAGCATTCGTAAAAGACCAATGATTATGAAGTGACGGCAATTGATTCAATTGCCACTGCTACCCGCACATTCTTTTCTTATTTTGGTTGCAAACTTCCCCAGGTAACGTGGCTAAGCTTGCATATATTTAACCCTCTCCAGATTTTGCAACGACGAAAGTCTCATGTATTGGTACGTTTTTATCAATTGGGTCTGGTTGAAGATGGTCATGATGTTGATATTGCTAAAATTGGGGAACAAAACTCAAATGCAGTCTTGTTCATTGGACTCTGGAGAAGAGTTTGAGAATTTCTCTTTATCCATGACTTCGAATAAAATGAGAACCTGAGAGCTTGCTTTTTCACTTGGCTTTTATATATTAGTTTGTATTCCATAACATTCCTTCTCATGTGATACAGGAGATTTTGAAGAATTCAAAATATCTGACTGCATATTGCATGAACCTATTACCTTGTTTTAGTAATTGGCATGTTATTGATTTCCTATCAATGTGAGTTGGGTACATACATTTTACTCTCTTCTTCTATAATGCAATGGACAGACAAACTACAAAGGTGTTTATTTGGAGTCAGCTGCTTCAGCTAGAAATGTCGCAAGTCAAGGCCCTTCTTGACAGCACTGGACGCAAAGTGGTGGCTGTTTTCGGATATCACAATAACAACAAGCTACATCACAGTTATTGTTGCATCCTATCACAAGAACAGAAAGATGGTCAGTATGTTACCGCGGGACTACAAAATGTACGTCTTTCTATTGTTTTTCATTGTCTTGCAATATCAGGGGCATACTTAACGCCTGTCGGTGCTTCATGTAACTGCATTTGGTCAGGCTATATGATTCACAGACAAAATTATGAAGAGAAGTTGCAAAGTAATTAAACTCAAACTAAGTGGTAAAGGGGTGAGAGGTTTTGTTCTCTTACCTGTTACAGTGATGTAGGGAGGTTGTTCCAGAGTCCGAGGATCAATGAAAAATGGGAGGCGAGTGCCTGCTTGAACAGTATTGGTCTCAACTTGAAGACAAAGCAGAAAACCAACTACAGCTAAAAATTTCATCATTTCAGCAGTACAAACCAATTACCAACAACTATTGAGGTTAGCTGCTAGGTTGGTAAAGTTTTCTCGTCATTGTCCATTTATATAGTTTCTTTGACAGTTAATATTTTTTGTTGAAGAGCAAAATCCATTTGACGTGACACCCAAAAAAAGCTAGTAATAACTTTTGTTTATGGCTGCTACCATATTGTGAGGATCATCCAATGATTGTGTGAATCTAAGAATTAACATCTATCTGCACATACATTTTCATACAGGCCATAGTAAAAGGATCATACCAAACGTATGAGGCAACTCTCTCTAGATTGTGTTCCAGATGAAAGAGAAATCGTCACCTCTCTCTCTCTCTCTAACTCCCAAAATCCCCCACAAGAAGCCTGGGGTTATCTATTTGATTATTAGCCTCTCTGAACCAAATTCATTCAAACAGTGATACATACCTAATAATCTGGACCGAAAGAAGTGAAGCTCAAATACGACTTTCAACAACTGTACTTCAATCTCATCACACCCCACCCTTCTCCAACCCACCAATTACCACCACGCACAAAAGTCGGTGCAATATGGATATAAAACCGTAGACAGCCAATAGACAGCGGCGTGAGAAGGGGGGTATCCCGCTTGATTGGCCAGATCCTGTAGTTAATGTCTAAAAACTAGCAGCAAATTTGAAGGAATATTATCAGGTCCCTCCAAAACCCAACCAGGATAACATTAAGTCATACTCCAGCAATGCTATAGTCAAAAAGTTCATCTGAAGAAAGATCATTGCAACTCTATAAAAATTTATTAGAAACAAACACCTTTCGTCTTAAACTGACACAAAACACATTTTAAGGATGGCAAAATACAATGAGTGCATACATTATTATCATAGCTAATGACTCCTTCAAATAATTCCCTCAAGATAGTATCAGAAAAAGATACAATGCACATTATCAGACTTAACAGAAACTTAAACGCCCGAGCGTTCAAGCTTCTTGATGTTTTGGATTTGCTTTCCAGGATTCAGTCCCTTCGGGCAGGCACGGGCACAATTCAATATTGTGTGGCAGCGGTAAAGCTTGAACTCATGATTTACTGCATCCAGGCGCTCTTGGGTATATTCATCACGGCTATCCATTATCCATCTGCATGGCACAACAAAAAAATAGTTTCAAATATATTGCTACCTATAGAGGTAAATAGGGGGAAAAATCACACTCTACACCAGATATCAACATAATGAACTGACAGAACAAATACAATTGTTGTAAAAACAAAGACTGTCGAAGTATGGAAGGAGTAATAACTCCCATAAATAGGTCTAATGTGGTAGTGATATACAGTTCGATGACTTATGTACTTGAGTAATCAACTTAGTTCTACTATGCCCTCCTGATGCAAATCGTAGTAGGTCTCACCTCCACTCCAAGAACTTGGGATGTTTTCATCTCCCAGAAGCACCCATTATGAACCATCATTACAATTTATGAAATAACTTAATTGCATATGCACTTGGGTTGTAGTTACCAGAAACCGCTCAACTCTAGGATGGCCCACAATCTCACAATTTGGGGGCAGCCACCTCAAACCGAGTGGGTTTGCAGTCTAGATCGCTTAGATTTCTGACGTCAAATTGTAACCCTAATTCAAACTTGTTTCGCTTTGCATACAACTTCAGATAATAAGAAAACACTCACAAATGTAAAATAAACATTAACTAAATGTATATGACTTTGTATAGACGTGAAAAGTAATCTAAATAAGAATTCCAAAATGAATTGCAACCCAAAACAGCACACTAGCCGAGTCTACATTGTCGCAACGCATACCCAAGAAAGTATCGTACCAAAAACCCATACATTTACCACGTATAGGTCGACCCCCGAGTTGGGTACCCTTCCTCATTTCATAGATTGGGACTTGGGAGCATTATCTACTTTACCAAAGGCTAGTTTGGGCTCAATGGAAAAGGAAATGCTTCAACACCCAGCCTTCAAAAAGTTGAGAACAGAGTAAAAAATGTGCAAGAAGTATCATATTTTTCCCAAATATCGAGCAACTTAGATCTAGAACATTTTCCAGAAAATAAGCCTCCCATCCAAGTGCACAAAACATTAGCTGCAACATGAGGGTCACCCCTGATCTAAAGTAAGACCTATGCATTGCAATCTTTTTGAAATAACAAACTGGACCCAGAAAAAGCAGTCATTGTTCACAAACCATAGATGCAAATCAGTGTTCTGCAACAGCCACCGCTTCCACTATACAATTTGATTAAAAAGACAATCACCTTCACTGGGACCTGTCATTGTATCATATGTCCAAGTGCATTAAACACATATACATATTTCTTTCTTTGGTATGCAAGGGTAAAAAGAATGTGTGCAGCAGAGAGCCAAGGGGGGCCATGACACCCACAAAGTTTTAGAAACCCTATAGTATAGGTGTACTTGCACACATATTGTTGTATTTAGGAAGAGTTAGCCTACAAAGATACATCATTAACATGTAATACAACTGCACCCTAAGAACACTTTGGTCTCCCCTAAGCCGAAATCATGGATCTGGTGCAACATGTGAAAAAATTTAATGCAGGCATAATGTTGCTGCGCTCCCTGCAGGTAAAAGCATGAAGGAATGATTAATTACCATGACTCCCATCCTCAGATTTATAACCTAATTTGAGTAAATTCAGCTTACATTAGAGGATAATCTAAAACCAACTTAAACTATGATGAAAGAAGACACCTACAGAGTATATGAATAAATAATTAACTTTATAAAAGGCTTCAAAGCCAAAGTGCAACAACAACTGATGCAAACACTACATTGCAAAAGCACGATAATTCTAGGACAACTCTAAGACCAACAAAATAAATTAAAGCCCTCAAAAAATCTTCCTTCTTTTCCAGGGAAAACATAGAACTTTTTGATTATTTTGGTAAACAATAAGTTTAATAAATTATCCAGCACAAAATCAATCGAAAAGATACTATCAATCCATCTGTGCCATCAAATAAACAAAAACATGAATACATTCGTGCACCTATGTTACACATTTTCATAATACCAACTTATTCCCACTTTCTACACGTTTCAACCGACGCCCCTCTTAGCATATTTTCTTTACATCAAACCTCCTTACTTACAAATGAGGAAACTAAGTTGATTCCTACAGCCTGCATAAACAAGCATGTGCACATATAGGCAAAACACAACCATACAAGCATATATGGCCAAAGCAGCACAAGCTATAACGAACAGTTAAAAAAAGCATACGATATAAATAATTCAACTTTCCCTACCTATATAAAAGATGAACAACCTCAAACCTACGTTCAATAGCTTTCCTACTGCTGCATCTCGCTGCTCTCGGATAGATTTTTAAGAAATTTAACCTTATAATACTTGATTTTATAGTTGATTATTCCGATTTTGAGGGAATTTTGTTGACAACTTAATTACTCTTAGATTAATTAAAAGTTGAGCTCAATTTTATCTCGAAGTCCTACTCGAATGCCAGGAACTCGTATCGAGCTATGCTTCAGCAAAAAATCTAAACACACACAATGGAGGTCGGCTCGAGCTCAAAGTTACTAAGCTGAGCTTTGGCATTCTCAAACTCGATAACAAAATGGTAAAAACGAAACATACCGATTGGCGTGAAGAAGAGCAGCGGGGCCCAGATAAGTCTCAGGGTTCCACCAATAGCTAGGGCAAGATGTGCTACAGCAGGCGCATAATATGCACTCGTACATTCCATCAAGCTTAGCCCTATCTTTCTTGCTCTGCAGAATCTCCTTCCCAGGCGCAGACGGTGGATTCTTCCTCTTCAACCACGGCTCAATCGATTTGTACTGATTGTAAAAATTCGTCATATCCACAACCAGATCTTTGATCACAAACATATGCGGCAACGGCGTAATCGTGGATGACGATCCAGATGGAATCTTCGTCAAACACGCCAAACCATTGCAGCCATCGATGTTCATTGCACAGGACCCACAGATTCCTTCGCGGCAGGACCGTCGGAACGTTAGGGTTGGATCCATTTCGTTCTTGATCTTGATTAGGGCGTCGAGAACCATGGGCCCACAGTCCTTGAGGTCGATCTGGTAGTCTTGAAGCTCCGGATTTTGGGGATTTTCAGGGCTCCATCGGTAGATTTGGAAGGTTTTCAGGTTGGTTGTGGGCTTGGCCTTGGGCTCCACCTGTTGAGCTTCCGCTTCGGAGGCATGGGCTCTAGCGATGATGAGTTTCGACGCCGGTAATAACTGAACCCTAGAAATCGCTCGTCGGACCAAACCAGTCGCCATTGTTTATGTTCAGAATTGAGAGAGAGAGAGAGAGAGAGAGAGAGAGAAGAGAGACGGAGAGAGAGTGAGTGTGGAGGGCAAAATGTGAGCAGGTGATGAAATGACCGTAATGGGTATATATAAAAGAAGTTAACCGTCGTGAGGAGGAGGAGGGTATTGGGTAAATAGAGTGATTCGTTTGGGGTATTTATGGAAGTTAAGTTGTAACTTGAGGCTGTACTTTAATTTCGTGGGCAACTTTATTCATAGCCGTGGATGGATTGAATTTTCGACGAGGGGTGTGATGACGTGGCACCACTTAAGCCGTTAGATAAATTTGGTAACGTGGTGGCCTCGTGGATCGATAATTTTTGAGTTTCGCCGTTAATTGTCACCGTCGCCGTCGAGTAAATGTCGTTTGATATTGCGAGGTCCTGAACTTTTATTTGATGATATAATAATTATAGGGCATGTAATTGTAAATAATGTTGAAACTTTATTTATGTAAGGGTTAATTTCGCTTCATATCTCAAAAATACTTTGATTCTTAAATATAAAAAATTTTAATTTATACCTTTAATATTATGAATTAATAATAATATGATCTTAATCTAAATTATTTTTCAGTTTTTTTTTTATCATAAATTAAAATATGTGAGATGCAAGTGCTTTGGATATGATAATGAGAAATGTTCAATGGTGTAGATATTTGTTTGCTTTCAATTTAACGCCGTTTTGTGTATCGAAAATAAGATTTCATTAATTAGATGAAGCGTAATTTTATCATATGTAGTTCATATTAGACGTCAATAGTCTATTAATTTATTACTCCAAGAACATGCAATTCACGTGTTTAAATTTATGACAAAAAAAATTAACGGCAGTGCCACCAATGCATAATATTAAAAGTGTAAATTAAAATTTTTAATGCTTAAAGATGCAAATTGGAAATTAAAGTATTTTTCGGGATACAAAATGAAGTTAGCCTTTTATTTAATTCCTACCATCGTCTATGGCTCTTCCTAGAGACTCGCTCTCCAATCTTTGTGCTTTTATTTTGCGCTCTCTCTCTCTCTCGTGCAATTTTGTCTTTGATGAGTTCTGTAAGTTTCTCTATCTCGTATCTTTCTTCTTCTTTTTTGGTATCTATCTATTTTTTTTAAACCTTGTTAGCCTTGTCAGAATTCAGACAATATGTTGTTGTTTGTTAAATTTGTTATTGATTTTATTATGCAATGACAATGTTGAGGAAAGGAAATTCCTTGGAAAAGTTGATAGCTCTATCGCTTGATGGTTTCTATCTTATTCTGGAACAAATTAGGGATTCACGGGCGGGGCCTTCAAATTGATATGGTATATAAGGATTTAGTGGAAGATGGGTGTAGGATGACAGACAAGGCATAACCCTTCATTATTATTTATTGGTTTCTGCTACATTCATGCCCTTCATCTTCGTATTTGATTCGTTCAATTGTTGTTGTATCTTTAATAATAATTCATCTAAAGTTGTAAAAATCTTTACCTTCAGCAAGATAAGGGTCGGCCGTTGCCAAAATTTGGCGAGTGGGACGTAAATAATCCCGCATCAGCTGATGGTTTTACAGTCATATTTGCCAAGGCTAGAGATGACAAGAACTCCAACGGAACAGGCGTGAGTGGTTCAACAGCGCAAAGGATGGACAATCAACCGAAACAAGATCAAAATGACCAGCAACCCTCCACGGTAAAAACAACACAAGATAACACTAATGAATACCATTATGATCATAATAATTCATACTTATTCTGACCTTATTGACATTGTACATTGATGCAGAAAAGTTGGTTTTGCTGTTTCTGAAACCCCTTCTACTTTTGGAGCAGTGAGATGGTAAATTTTGGCCAAGATGGTTGTACAACTCTAATGAGCATGCTTGATTGGCAGGGTCGGGGGAGTGGAAGGCGGCTGGCAACAATAGAGGTGATAGGATGGTCAAAATGTGAGAGCTTTTAGAGTGATGGTGTATTTATGTTGATGATGAAAAAAGAATGATGTATTAATGTTGAGAAAAAAGCTATGTCAAATCGAATGCATTACCAAAAAAAAAGGTATAACCCTTTTCTGCAGTTTTGATCTGGTTTACAGGGTTTTGAATGGTTCATGAACTTCAATGCAAGTATTTGCCTAGACAAACAGCCATAGAATGTATATGCAGCCAGCATGATTCATTGACTCATCTATTCATCCCAGACTGACCTGTTTCCTTTTTCAGACTCTTGACAATGAATAATAAGCAAAAATGTGGTGTTTAGGCAGCAGGAACTGCACAAGATAGTGCTGACACCAAGGCAAAATAATGTAAACCAGACTAGGTGGAGGCAGAAATCATAAGGGAAACATTATTACCTCAATTCCTTGAATGCCGAAAGACATATAATTTAAAGATTTGTTTGTTGGCAAAGGTTTTTCCTGTGCACAACAGCTTGTTGTACTCAAAAAAGTTTAGACAAAGAAAGAAACAGAAGAAAAAAGGAGTCCACATGTTTCCTGTATGAGAGGTCTGTTTCAGGTAGGGAAACAGTTTCTATGCAGACTGCTGGATAGTAGCCTCATTTCCATTCTTTCACCCGTCCATTCCAGAATCTCCAGCACTACCAACACTGCTGCCAGGAGACTCTAAAATGGGCCCAGCTGCGGAAGTGAAGGGCTCATGATTCACTGGATGGTTGAAGGAACAGGCGCGCCCATACTTGCAAATACCAAACCGCTCGTAATGCTTGCAAATTCTAGTGCCCTGGATAGATTGGCAGAAGATAAAGAGAAACCATGATCAATACAAACCAAAATAACTGAATAGCAGACAATATGGACTACGTTTCTGTTAATTGTGTGATCCAGACAGACTAATTCCTTGCCTTCCAAAGTAAACTAATAACCTAGGGAAATCAACACTACACTTGCCATTTGACAAACAACCTCATTCTCAACATTCACCAGAAATTTGACCATTCAAAATAGAGAAGCCCAAAAATTCATTGAATCTTAAAATATTGAAGTTCCCAGAGTCAAGAGCATGTTAAACTTACAGGCCTTATAGGCAACCCCTTGTCACTGAGATGACAGGCATTCACTTTTGGAGCCTGACTCTTGGGGAATTCTTCAGCCTGTGAAGCAACATCTGCTTTTTTTCCAAAAATGTCGGCATTCGCTTTCGGAGCCCGACTCTTGGGATGGTGATACACACATGCTGATTTAAATTTGCAGTCCCCAGTCTTCATGAAGTTGTTGCACTCAGGTAGACCTGGTCGTTCTGGGAATTCTTCAGCCTGTGAAGCAGCATCTGCTTTTTTTCCAAAAAAGTCTGTTCCCGGAGCCGAACGAGGATGCTTTGCCCTTTCTTGGGCATAATTAGGGGCCTAAACAAACCATGGGAAGCATCATCAGGCTAGAGTAATATAAATCAAAAGCCAACTAAGCCAAGTTATCCCTCTGATAGCAAAAGAGCTCAAACAGAACAATCTTCTTCAAAACATTTAAGAACATTAGTGGAGATATATTTCCATCATAAAGCAAGATTAGTCGAATTCATATCAAGCAACGGTCCTAGAACTGAGATATAGTCTCCTGTCATGTCATGTCATCTTATCACACGATGTTTTTGCTATAATGAGGTGCTACTTATAAAGGTAAACAAGGATCTGGTTCCACATTTTTCTCCCCCTTCCTTGCTCTTTCTTCAAGCTAGAGTAATGCGGAAAGGCCATAATGACAAATTAACTGCAACCTAGTACCTAAACACGGTTACCATTTTACTTATCAGCCCAAAAACGAAGGGATGAGGGAAAAAACAGAAAATTACCACTTTAGTAGAATTTCGAGCAAATAAATCTCCTTTTTTAGATTTTTTTGCTAATGTCACATTAGAGAATCGATTACACATTCAAATAAAGGAAAACATAAAGATCGAACAGTTACGGAGATACTGATCTGACTGGAATCCTGAACCTGTTGTCAACAATCAGGTCCTGGTAACAATTATCTATATTGAATCACAAACTATCATATTATAGGAGGGAATAAGTGGAAATTAGTCAGTATTGGACGTATTTGGCATTCTGTACATGGAAATAAGAGAACCCACAACTGCCTACAATCGGGTACATTTTGCCACCTTCCACCAAATAATGCAAAAGCCATAAACACCCTTTCATACCACCATATTACAACACATGACAACGATAACGACTGTGATATTAAAGATACTTTAACAAGGACATAAGGAGGCCATCTACACGCATTCTAATGCTAAGCGACTAGAGTGGATCCAACATCCACATTTTCTACCAATCCACCTTCGACCAAGTAATGCAAAAGACAGAAACACAATTTCATACCACCATATCAGAACAAATGACAATTATAATTTAACAACAACATTGCAGGAGGCCATCTACACGCATTCTAATGTTACAAGACTAGAGCGGATCCAACATCCACATTTTTCTACCAATGTAGTTTCTCCTCTCTTTCTTTTACTATTTAAAATCCTCTCAATATTTTCATAGATAAATTTGGAACACCAATAAGGAGTCATGCTGAGAAAACTGATAGACTGCATATGAGCAGGGGCGTAGCCAAAAATTTGTCGTAGTGGGTGCAAAAAATTTAATAACAATAATAATACATGCACTTAATTTGGAGACCTAGTTTAGAGATCTAATGCACTTACCTTTACAATTGTTACCAATTAATTTTCATATTATAAAAATATTGCATCATAATCTTATCATTTAATAGATTAATATTACCCACGGTGGGAGAAATGGGGACAAGATAGAGAGAGGGAGAACAAAGGGCTTCAAGTTAATTTTTTGAACGCGTGTTAAGGGATTCAACTAACTAACCATTATCTAAATTCACTTAACTAAGAGTAAAGAAAATTAATCCAAACATTAAAAAATGATTAAATAAATTAAAATGTATAAGTTTTCTTATGGGGCCAAATTAAAAATATATTGAAACCTATATAAAAAAAAATTGTAAATAAAAAGTGAGTGGGGGCGGTTGCCCCCATAAGAGGCTGTGTAGCTCTGCCCCACATATGAGCATGCACGAAGAATGCTTGCTCCCTCAATTGTCCATGGGCATGTGTGTGGATAAAGGCACGCATAAAACAAGTTTATTACAAGGCAAAAATCTAAATGGCTGAAATCAAATCCAGCAAAAATTAAAGATAGAAAGATACCTGATAACCACTCCATTCAAGATTTTGATACACCTCTTGAGGATGGGAATGCACTGAAGGCATATAAGACGAGTGGTTAGCCAAGTAATGAACAGTAGTATTGGATATTGTATGCAAATCCCAGGATGCTTGAGCTGGTTGTGATGCAGCTGATGCCCCTGACACATGCAAAGGAGCAAACTCTGCACTACAATTTCCTAAGGAATGACCATATTGTCCCACAGATTCATAACTGAGAGTTGAGTTGCGAACATCAGTTCCTCCTTCGGAGGTAGGATCAGGATGGTGGAACATGCAGCGAACCCCATATCCACAGGTACCATTACGCATGTAGAAGGAACACTCTTTCTTTCCCTGGTTGAGAAGACAATGCAACAATAACTTCAGACTACATCCTTAATATATGGATACATATAAATGCTGCATGCCATTGTCTTTAAAAAATTTACCTAAAAATAAAATATGTTGTAGGGTACTAATACAATAAAAGAATAAGACAAGATGTTGCATGGTATTGATCTACTAAGTAACAAATAAATTCAGTGAAACACTAAAAAAATAGAAAATAAATAAAAATAACATGTATTACCGATCGTATTGGCAAACCAAGAAAATTAAGTCCCAGCAGAGCACCGGGCTCTGCTTTAGAGTGCATGAATCGACATGAATTTCCATACTTGCACCCGCCTGCTGTTAGGTAATACTGCAACAATCAGAAGACACCACTCATTTTTACAACAGGCACTAGGAAATTGTAATCATACAGCAGTTGATGACTAGACACTAGAACCAATTTACATGATATAATACTAGCCATAGTTATCAGAATCAGACTCGACCAGCAGGTCTCACTGCTGAACCGGCTGTTCCAGCCCGTTGCAATTACTTGAACCATCTGCAGTGAAGGCAGTAAAAAATTTCAAAGGGGCATTGTCACATTAGAACTCAGAGTGTCAAACCCCCAACCACATGCATGTGCTTTATGAACTAAACCTACAAGTTTCTGAGACAAATCTACAAAATCTTGACATCAAATGCCAGATCAAAATATTTGAGGGTTAATACGAAGGAGGAAATCTCATATCTGAAGTATGTTTAGTGCGGTACCAAATTTCTTATTTTGTTGACTTAAGTTTGTTTAATTTTTCATACAGGAGTAATTTTTTGATCTTCGTTTTCGTTTTTTATTTTCTTGAAATTTACAAATAAAACATTTAAGCAGTTAACCCTTCTATCTTATCTACGTATATATTGAAGTAATCTGTCTGCAAATCCATCTTTTCTTTCCTTTTTAACCACAAAGATCAATTAACACAATAATAAAGCAATCCCCTTGTCGTATAGTGCTTCACTGACAGACTACTTGGTCCTCAGTAACCACTATTTGTAGTTTTGTACTTGATTTTATATCCAAGTGTATAAAGCTACTAGTTAATTTGGCGGTAATAGCTTAGTTACGATTGGCCACTAAGCTATCTATTAATGACTAATTACTATTTATGGTCATTACTTATTAGTCAATAATAGATACCTCTTTCTTTCCCATAAAGTGATTGATTACGTATAGCAAATTGATAGATTCTTTGGATACCAATTATTTGGCTATGTTTTCCTCTCTTATGGATTAGGATATACTAGTTTAACTACATTTCTACCTATTCCCCGACGTAAAATGCTAATAATTGATGGTACTTACTTCGACTCAGAACCCTATATAAAATCCAATACCACCAGCAAGGCATGTTTATATGTCTTATAAGATTCATAACAAGCGTAAGTTAGTAAAGATATGCATAGCTAAAAGTTTACCTGACCTTGATGGTTCCACTATGCCTTAACCAATACCTCCTTATGCTATTGACCACGATCTAATGGTGGGCAACATGGAAATACCGCAAATTAGAACCCTACTCTGACCTAAACTAAGAAGAACACATAATCACAAACTTTGATACCTCCACCAAATGATATAAACCAAACCAAACCAAGCCAAGCCAAGTCTTATGTGTCAATCATTTGGGGTCGGCTATATGATTCCGTCTGCTTCATTCACTTCGGTCATGCGCTATACGCTCATTTAAGTTAAATATTTTCATATCTTTTCTTATTATTTCGTTTAATGTTATATTTAGTTTATCCTTACTTTTAATACCATTATCAGAAATTCTATCACTTTTTCTAACCGGTGCCTCTATCGACCTTCGTTGAACATGATCAAATCATCTTAGTCTATTCTCTCTTAACTTATCCTCACTTGGAGCTACTCCTACCATTTCTCTAGTACGATCACTTCGCATTCTATCCTTTTTAGTTTTTTCACATATCTACCTTAACATTCTCATTTCCGCTACACTGATTTTGACACTATGTTATTTTCGAGTTGCTCAACATTCTATCCTATACAACATTATTGTCCTCATAGCTGTTTGGTAAAACTTGTCTTTCAATTTTATTGGTATCTTTTTATCATATAATATGAAAGAGGCTTTCATCCACTTAATTCAACCGGCGTTGATTCTATGAGTTACATCGTCTCTAATCTCTCCATCATTTTTAATGATCGATCCTAAATATCTAAATCGTTTATTCTTTGGTATTTCTTGATTTTCAATCTTAACTTTTCACTATATCTACTTCTTCTATTACTAAAATTGCATTACATGTATTCATTCTTATTTCTACTTCTTTTAAACCCTTTCAACTTGAGTGTCACTCTCCAAATTTTTAGTTTATTGTTAATTCTCCCTTCGAGTTTCATCTACTAAGACAATATCATCTGCAAATAGCATACACCATAAGACATCATCTTGAATGTATCTAGTGAGTCCATCCATAATTATGGACTTAAAAATGATCCTTGATATAATCTCACCGTAATGCAAAATTTTTTACTTTCTCCCATGGAAGACCTAATTGTAGTCATAGCCCTATCATACATGTCCTTTATCACTTCAATATACCCATTCATCACTCTTTTTTCCTCAAGTACCCTTCATATTATATTTCTAGGTACTTTATCATACACCTTTTCAAGATGTATAAATACCATATGAAAATTTTTCTTCTTCTCTCTATATTTTTCTATGAGTGTCCTTAATAAATACATAACCTCCATAGTTGATCTGCTAGGCCTAAACCCAAACTAATTTTCCGAAACTATAATCTCAACTCTTAAGCAACGGTCAATAACCCTCTCCCATAGTTTTATTGTATGATTCATCAATTGTACCTCTATAATTATTATAATTTTGAATATCTTCTTTATTTTTATAACTAGGTATTAAAATAATCTTTCTTCATTCATCGGACATTTTCCTAGTAGCAATAATACTATTGAATAATTTCGTTAGCCACGACACTCCATCATTCTCTAAGCACTTTCAAACCTTAATTGGAATTTTACTGATCTTAAAGTCTGTCTTAATTTTATTTTCTTCAATGCAATCTCCACCTCCACATTCTTTATTCTAAGAAAAAACGTGTGTGTTTTAGTTTCATAAATTCTACCATTTTCTATCTCTTCTAATTTTCCTAAGTAATTTTCATTTAAAAGTTTATCAAAATAGCCTTTCCACCAATCATTTATTTCCTAATCCTTAACTAAAACCTTTGAATCTTCCACTGAATGAAATCAAACCTCTAAATCTACCTGCCCACGCTAATGACGCATATCTTCTAGAAAAGGCAGAGTGTCACAAAATCTTCTCCTTTTGCCTTCAATTACATCTGAAAACAAATTGTAAACTTTATTATGATCATACCTCATTGGTTGTCAATTTCTAATGACATCCAGCACAACTCCTCCTACAACTATTACGAAGGGCAGACTTTACAACAAGGCCATGGCTATTGACTCAGCTAGTCTCGAGCATTTTCATTAGAATTCCTAACCATTCTTCAACTATTTGTGTTTGTTCTAATGTCCCATATCACCTCTTAATGATACTTCCCAAAGAGACTGAAGTACACACTTAATTCTCTGTGCACACATACGTTGTACATGTACGGGACATACTTGTAGACATAAATATCATATAGCAGAGTCATGTCTCAAACAAGATGAGGCATTCCATAGCATCCTAGAATAAGGTTGGGTTGTTTGCTGCTGCAAGTGGGCTTCCTACCTTTAGGAACCAAAAGCTCCTTCTGTAGTAATTAATCCAACTTGTTTAAAAATTGATTTCCCACAAATCCGAACGCTCAAGTAGTGATTTTTTTAGTTCCCATCTAAGCACCGATTAGGTTTATTTATCACATGGTCCTCAATCCCATTTCATAATTGCAAAACTAGATTGTATGGGAACCATTGCTATAACCTAAGAGGCACAAATATTCTTAGGAAAGTAATGTATCCGACGTTTTGGGCACCGACACTTTTCGGACACTCTTGGAAACTTGTTTGATACTCTCTCAGCCACACCATTGATTAAAAGATAAAATATTTATTTTGAACACACCTTTGGTGATGTGCCCAATACTGCTTCAGGTTCGTGCCAACGACTAAAAAATAAAAATAGTTCAAAAGCAAATCATGAATACATGTTTACTAAAGAGTAAAGACTTGAAAAAAGAGAACGATCGTTATGATGTATCTTCGTTATAATTTGTGGATAAAAATCAATTATAATTGACTACTAAGATCTATAAGTTTAAAGATTCCCATCAGAGGACCAAAATAAGATTTACTTTCCATAAAGCACTGATTCTCTTAGTTATAATGCTATATCTATATAAAATGATTGATTATGTAATGTGATTTAAAAAAATTATTTGTAGCCTATCTTTGAAGTGTCTGTATCCGACTTTTTTGAGAAATGCTTTGTCCGTAGGTGCGCATCGTGTCGTCTCCATGTCTTGTGTGTGTTTTGTGCTTCTTAGGCCATCACAATTGATAGAAGTTTTGAAATCTTTCCATCTGAACATGTTCTCACCAAATAGTAGTTCTTTTTTGTAGGCCTTCCTTTGAAGGACTTCCCTTTATAGTTCAATATCTTATAGGACTTCACATTTCAAGGAGCTCTACCAAGTCGAACCAATATCAGGGCCCTTGAGACATACACTAATATTCTCATATTTAACACAAATGATCCAACAAAAAGTCCAAATTGGAGCATCCACACAATGAATCTTGTCGCTAACCGAGTGTCTGAACCACGTGTTTCGGATTTACCCAATAGGAATGGGAGATCAACACTCACAATTACAGATGCAATAAGTGATCAACAACAAGCGTCACCACATATCGTTTAATGGTGTTACAATCTTGTACTTTTGCACATTTGTAATTTCCTTTTTAGATTTTAACAATCATATCTTACTTACTAATGTACATCATAACAAGCACTAATGCTCCAATCTCACTCATCAAAACACATACAAGCGCGCAAATGCACAAACATATTAAGGAAACAAAATTATGAGTAATGTATCAACCTTGCATTCAATGTGTCCCATTTTTCCTGAAAACCCTTCCTTGTCTGTGTCCTTTTTCTTGCCTTTACCAACCTTCAATGCAAATCAACAAACCAAATCAAGCGCATGCATGAAAAAAGAAGAAAAAAAAAACACAAGAACATAGCTTTCTGAAAAATGTAGCCCCAATAAAATTTCCGAAATACCTGAATTGTAGTCTTAACCGGGTGATTAAACTTGCAAGCGGGTCCAAACTTACACCTTCCTGTTCGAAGGTAATGGGGACAATCTTCAGCGTAAGGTCGCAGGGGGTAGTGAAATGTGCTAATGTCCAGAATACCGCGATCTGTTAGTTCATTGTTAATGGATTCGTTCAAGTTCTCGCTCGAATTCAGACCTACATTCTCAAATTTCTGAATCAGAGCTTCTTCCGTAACGCCCGAACCAGTCGCAGTGAATCCTGGCTGTGGTTCCACCCAAGAGCTGCCATTGTTGTTGTTGTTGCCTTCGTAGGTCCCCATCTCTGTCGTGCAACATCTGAAAACCCTAACAATCTAAATCAGCCTACAAATAGGGGTCGATACAGACGAGATTACGCTGAGATTACATGTACTTCCAAGTAGAAACGCACTCAGTGGTGCCCAGAATCAGTGGTGGCTGCTTCTGCTTAATCCACCCCGGTCCCACTTGAGTGGGTCCCGCCTTTAAACCACTGAATTTCAGGGTGGGTTTGCGCCGTCGTTTTAGCATACTTTTTCTAGATGTGTTGACCATCAAGCTCTGAAAATAAAATTGGGTTGACCTCCGTTGTAAATCCATTTTTTATTCCTATTGCTGTGGTTAATGGCAATGGCATAGCCTTTTCCGGTAAAGTTAGGCTATTCAATAGCAAAACCGTCGTCGTGATTCAATGAAAAGATGCTTCCGGATAATTATGTTGTTTGCCCCACATTTCTCTGCTTTGTCTTGTTCCTACCTAAAAAGGAATAAAAAGGGACAAGAAAAAACAGGAGAGGGAAGAAAACTAATGCACGAGGCGAATCCTACTTTATTACGGGGAGGATAAGTACGCTCTACTTTCAGGGATACTTCTAGAACTGCAACCTTTTTAACATGAGGGGGATAAAAGGCCAAAAGGGTGTTACTTGTGGCCTTTCTCTCACATCATTTAGTTGGATAAAAGGGTATTATCAGGACCTTTGAATTTAAATTTGGACAATTTTTTAAAGTCAGACTTTATGAATATATTTTAATTTTGACGTAGATAATTTACTTTTTAACTTAATTAGATAAAAGATTAATAAAGATGTGCGTAAATTAAATTAGACACTCTGACCGTTGAACAAAAAAAAAAAAAAAGGCAAGATTTTACAATTTCTTTTTCAATTCACAAATATAACTATAATTAAATGATATTTTATTCGATAGTTCCCCCAAATCAAATTTTATTTCGCTCCGTCTATACGTGATTTACGCTAGTCTTTTTGTTTTCTTAAGTAAAGGTAAAAATTATCTCCTTTGCCCTTCGCTTTAGATGGGCTAGATGGGAGTGTGAGGTGTAGTTACTAAATTTTCACTCCAACACCGAGCGGTAAGTCCAATAGGCAGGAAATCAAATTTATCCGCTCAATGTTTAAATTCAAGTCTTCATAGTTATAGTTCAATGAAGTTACATGTATGTGCGTGCACGATCTTATACAAAATAAACACAAGAACAGATATGTTCTGTGGTAAACACGAGTCCGTCAATCGAGTGATCAATCTTGCTACTTGGAACAGATCGTAAGGGCCGGAGGTGGCCTAAAAAATGGTAATGAATAGTTCCTGTGGGTCACCAGATTGGTCCTGTGAGGCTAAGAGAGGTTCATGGAACAGAGAAAGACAGGTTAGAAAGGAGTCGAAATATTTTTCGGCGTATCCCCTCTGACGATTAAGTCAGTTCCTTGAGAGATGAGAAGAAGAAAATACTGTATAATGCTTGAGAAAGAGTTGTTTGTGTACCTCCTTAATGTGTTTGTGAGGACTATTTATGCCTTACAAAATTCATCATTGCTGACAACGTAGCTAGTAGGTAATCATTCGAGGTGGACAGTGTGCATACTAATTTCTATGAGAAATGTCCTCATTCATAACTGTTTAGGACCCCGAACAACTAATACTTTCTCCTCGGCCTGCCGAGCATTAATGACCTTCTCTCGGCAGGGAGATACTAAATGCCCAGGCATAGGAACATTCATTACCTTTCGCTTCTAGGCTCTCATGCATTAAATGCTGTCTCATTAAGGGAAGGATGCATTAAATGTCTGTTCTCCCAAGTCGTGTGTCAGCAAGGGCATTCTGGTCTTTTTGTCTCTGATTTGACACAATATGCCACATGTCCATCCCCCTTTGGTTGAGTCTTCTGCTTTCTTGTTTCTCCTGACATCATTTGAGTAAGACCAGGTCATGATGGCTAGTCTAGCCTAGCCTAGTGTAGGCTAGTGATCTGTCCATCAATAACCCCTATAGGAGCAGAAAACGCCCATGTGGACAGACATACCTTGGTGCCGAGGGACTAGAATGATTAGGACCGATATACCCAAACTGTCGAGGAATACGTGTCGGTCCAGGACGTGTTGGGGATCCTTGGTCCCTGTGAATAGTATCCTTGGAGCAAGTGTTATAAACCGAAGAAGACGTGTTGAGATCATAGCGGAGAGTCTCCATTAATACCGAGTACACGTGTCGTTATCTGGGAGTGTCTGCAAATGTCCTATCAACTGCCCCCCAGTCTTTGATCTTCTAATGCCGAGGATACGCGTACTAAGAAGACGAAGGGTGCTGCAACTGTCCCAACCACCTCATCATTGCTTCCAGTCAATTTTTGCTGCTTAGGGGGTCGTGCGCATTAAATGTGCCTCTCTGTGCTTCGTATCCAATGATGGGGACGGGTGCTATATAAACAGACTTTCTCTCTCCTTCCTACACTTTTACCATTTTCGAACTCAGAAAGCTTTTGCCGAAAAACTTCGCTGGAGACCCTCTTATCACATCGTCTACCAGTCAGTCATCACCAGAGTTTAGACCAGCAAACCCCCTCTTGCTTTTGAACCTTCCTCGAGAAAGGAACCACTCCAAGTTCTTTAGAAATCTTCGTTTACATTTTGGTGAGTCCTTGCATCCCCCTTCTTTCCATCTTTCTTTTGGATTTTGCTTTTCATGCTCTGGTAACCGGAGGTATTTCTGGTTGTTATCGTTTGACCAACCCTCAGGAAACCTCTCGGAGTTCCTTGTAGGAAAACTCTTTTTTCTTCCCCATTTATTTTTATTTTAATTGGAGATGCCCTGATGCTGCCCTGTTACCGAGGACCCCCAGGCTAGTTCCTCGAGGTCAAGGAAGTACAAAGTGAAGGGAGACCAGTAGATCAATAGGTTTAGAGCCCGATATCACATCCCCCAAAACGTAGGTATAGAAGAGTACGACCCAGTTTTGTATAACTGTAATCTCAAGGCCGAGGATGAAATACCTTTTTACACCAAAGCAATCATAGAGGGTGGAATTAGGTTCCCTCTGCCTCCTCTGCTCCTCCAGTTCCTTTCCCATTTCAACCTCTTCCACAGGCAGTGTTTCCTTAATGTCTTTAAGATAATAATGGGGGTCTTAGAGCTTAATAACCACCTCAGGATAAACGTTGGGCTCAACGATATCCTTTTTAGCTACTCCCTGTTGAGGATCATGCCCCAGCAGAACTTCTACCTCAAAGCCAGGGATCCATCCATGTACCTTGTAACTCACCTCCCTGATTCGGATAAAGGGTACAAGGACGACCTTTTGATTTTTAGTGGATCTTGGGAGAAGGGAATCGGTCCCGAATACGATAGTCTGAGATGCCCTCTTGAATGGAGAACGACAAGTACGTCGGCTTCTTTGAGTCCAATTTTTTACTGTCCTGGGGATATTTTACAAGTGTTAATAACCTTCTTTCTTGTGCAGACGTCTCTGCCCGGAAAGTCGCTCCTCCTCCTTGGTCTTTGGTGAACTTTTCTTACCTCATCACTGTTTGGAAATTTGTCGACGACGACGGGTTTGGCTGAGCCGCTCATCTTCTTCTGGACTACACAGCAGGGTATAAGAAGTTTTCATAGCTCCCCCCAACCTTTCAACCCTTCGCAGTGATCTGAACTCTTTGATCAGACTGCGCAACAAGAGGCCGAGCAGAACTAGGAGGAAGACCCTGACAGGGCTACTGAGGTGGAAGTAGAGGGCACATTTAAAGTTGAGGAGTTCGGGGCCAAATAGGTTTTTGTTCCTTCGCACGCTGAGATGGGGACCTCATGGAGAGATTCGTGGCCCGACTTCAACATCCTCCAGTCCCTAGACGCCGAGGACGCCTTTGAGGTAGCCATGTCACATACGCCCCGCATAGACTTGGGTTTCCTAAGGCAGAGACAGACCCTTACTGTATGGAGAGGACGGGGGTCAACCAACAGTGCCCCATCAACAGGGACCAGTGCCAACCCCCCACCTTCTAGGGCCGTTGGTCAGGGTTAAGTGCGTGACAGAGATCCCCAAATTGAGGAGGAGAGAAGGACCAAGCTAAGGCACCACGGCCTTGGAAGGGAGTCCAGGGCCCCCTCCGCTCAACATCAAAGCGGGAAGGGCTGTGAGTTGCCCCCTCCACCTCAGCAGCAACAACAACAGCAGAGACAACAACAGCAGCAGCAGCAGAGACAAACTCCACCTCCCCTGTCGTAGACGGTGGAAGCTGCAAAGTGGAATCCTCGGGCTACTGATCACATGAACCGGTGATCAAGGTTAACGATTCTATTATGCAGGACCCCCATGTAGATAATGCAATGAGTGAGACGCTCCACTTTGAGGTCGACATGGAGGCTCATAAGGGGCGGACAACAAACACGTTGTTCCGTTCCATCATTCAGAATTCTGGTGGTAAGTTCATCTTTGGTTTGGCCTTTCCTTACTATATCACCCACAAATTGACAAGTTCTTTCCCTCACAATCTACCCAACAAATTTTCATAATCGGTGCGCGATACCATGTAGCCAGAATGCACCTTCAACGGACCCAGTAGTAGAAGGAAGAGGTTGAAGGAGCCTTGGCCAGCGCTAAGAAGAATGTGGCTGTCAGGGACTCTACCCTCGCGGGCCAAGTCACTCAGATTGAGCAACTGCTCAAGGACAACGAATTGGCTAAGGTCGGCGCTGAAATGCTAAGTGTCGCCTTGGTCGACGCTGAGAGGAGGATTACACAGCAGACGTAACAGCTCTCTACGGTCGAGGTGAGGGCCGTCGGTTCAGAGGAGAACTGCCTAGCTCTGACCCAGGAGCTGGACAGGATCAAGGCTAAAATAGAGAACAGGAAGTTTGAGGAGCAAATTCGAGAGGAGTTTTCCGATGACATACTACCCGCCCTTGAGGAGAACAGTAAAGAGTTCTTCAAAAATGGGTGGGATGAGGCGCTCCAAGCCGCTGGTGTCCTTCCAGACTCTCCACTTTTCCAGATCATAACTACGTGCTGTCA